GGGGGTCTCTCCTCTGGCTCCTTCGGGGGTCTCCGAAGCCCCCCCTCTACCCTTCTTCCACTCCATTTGTGCGGAGCTAAAGGGCAGCATCCACCATCATGCAGACATGCGCAGAGAATGAATTTACATCTAACACCAGCAATAGCACTTATATATCGCTTCATGGTGCTTTAAAGCCTCTCTAAGTGGTTTACAGAGTCACCATATTTTCCACAACAATCTGGGCCCTCATTTTACCAATCTCAAAAGGATGGAAGGCTGAATCAACCTTGAGCCTGTCAGTATCAAACTGCTGGCAGTCGGCAGAATTAGCATACAATACTGCATTCTAACCACTACGTCACCAAAGCTCTTTCATATAATATTCTTTTTATTCTACATTACAATAGTTAATTACTACCCTGAGTGAAGTTTTCCTTTATTAAAGTGAATTAGGAACAACATTTTACCTATGACCATCCCTAATAAGTTTAACAACAAACCTACCTCTTTATTATATGTTGGGTTCATTCATTATTCTAAGCCATGGTTTGTTGGTTGTTGGCTTATATTAACTATTTTTATTTGAATAAACCAAAATAGCTGAGCCTGGCTCACTTCCTATAGGTGCCATGGCAAGCTGATAATGGCTTTAACTAGCTAAGAAGAGAGCTTTTGGGAGTAGAATTGTGACTGAATACCAGATCCAAGCCAATGTAATTATCCTGGAACTAAGGAAAAATTATTGAAACCATCCGCATGACTCCAGACAGCTGCTCCTTCCAGACCATAAATGAGAGGTGTCAAACTGCCAGCCCGTGGGCCAGATGCATCATAGCGAAACTGCACCCACCCCATTGCCAGCAATGGCAAAAAAAATCCCAATAGGTCGCGACACGTCACGTGACGTTGCGAGTTTGACACCCCTGCCATAGACCCTGGAAACTGCCATTTTTATGATTGGCTAATGAATGGACTGGCTGAGAATCAGGACAACATCAAGTTACTTTTTACAAAGCAGTATTTGTGGAATTAAACTTGACATTAAGATTATATCACTTTTTTAGATTTAAAAACTTGTGTTTGCATATTGGAGAAATTAAGACCTTTTTATAATGGCAGAGTATTACTGTATTCATTGAGTGAGTTTCTGTCTCCTTAAAAGACAATGGTATAAATTTGATTTTAAAAGTTATAAAAATATATGATTTTTGGAGTAGGCAGCATAAGAGCACTTAGTATATGGATTTTGGCAAGTTAATAAAGGATTAAAGGGCCAGAGGGATTTACAATTATAGTTTTGAATTATTTAGAAGATACTTTCTCATGGGAAAATGGAGATTGCTTTTGCGGTTTTTTTATGATAAGGAAACCTTATAAAGGCTGGATACTAGAGTAAGAGGATAAAGGAAAAGGAACAGAAATCATTAATGCAAATGTCTGAATACTTTCAGCCACGTTTTGAACAAAATGAGTCAAATGCTTGATAAAATTGACAGACCAGGTTCTAATGAATTTGCAAAACAAGAACAAGCTATAATGGATGTCTATGAAATTAATTTGAAGAGGGATTTATATGTAATAGAAATGGATCTAATGGATAGCTCATTCCCTAACAAAGATGAACAGGTATTAAACCAGAAGAGTGGTCTGGATCATTTTTTCTTCTGGATAGATAAAAGAGCTCTGTTAATATCTGGAAGTACTCTTTGAGAAGTGACAAACAAAAGGATAAATTTTACTTATTGATACAGTATAAAAGAAATCTATTAAAGTTCTGAAGGATTTTTGCTTTAAAACAGATGATCAAGAAAACGACCTCTGGGACTTGTTAAAGTTCTATTAAAGTTCTGAAGTAGCATTTGGATCTCCTTTTCCTTATATAAGAGGTGAGCTACAGGGAGAAGAGAGATTTATTTATATTCTGTGATAAGCTATTAAAATTGTGTTACCTGCTGGGGTGAAAAGGGAAGTTATTTTTTTTTCTTTTTCCTTCCCTTTTTTCCCTTTTTCTCCCTCTGTTCCACATTTTTTGGTATTTTTCTGTTTGTATTTTTTTAGGTTTCTATTGGCTTTTATTCTCTTCATTTGTAATTGTTAATAAAATTATTGAAAAAAAAAATAACTGAGCCCAAATATAATGTTCAATCAAAATCAAATGAGTTATGGTATAATATAATGCATGAAACATGTCATAATGTCCTAAGTCTCCTTCTCTTTTTATATAACATGTTAATTAAAAAGGAATCAAACTGGGCATCATTTCAAGATACTGAAGGAGAAGCAAGATAACAGGTGGTAGCAGCAGACATGGAACTTGTACCTGTAGCTCCTCTTTAATAACTGGCCGGCTATGGAATAACACCACCTGAATAAATAGCTTTTAATAAGCCAGATCACCTTGTCCTAGGAGGAGTGGATAATTCTGTGACTGGCTATGTCACACTTCTATATCCTACGGCGTGCATAGCAGTGTGACACCATCTAGCTGTGTTTTGCATTTGCTGCTAATTGCAGCATGTTGGTGGGAAAGGGGATATCTGCAACCATCCTGTGCTTCAATCAGGTGCGAAGCTTTACACTCCAGCTAAGTGCAAGTCATAGGCATAAGGGGGGAAAACGACACAATGTCCCCCCACACACACCCTTTTGAGCCAGTTCAGGGATATCATTAAGCATCTAAGATATATCACTTAGTGCAGTGGTTCTCAACCTATGGGTCGGGACCCCATTTGGGGTCGATTGACCATTTCACGGGGGTCGCCAAGCAAGGCTGTCTGCCATTTTTTTCCCCTTTTCCAGCGGGTGCCTTACCTCCCTTGAGCTGGGCCAGCTGGTGGTCGGCCTGCTCCGTCTCTGCCGCTTGCCAGCTACGCCTCGGCTGGCGCAGGGGGCGGAACCACGCATGCGCAGCGCTCCCGGGCAGGGAAAGTCCTCGACCTACGACCGGTTGGGTAGTCCTTGACTTATGACCGGTTTAGTCCTCGACTTACGACCGGTTGGGGGGTCGCGGCATTAAAAAGGTTGAGAACCACTGACTTAGTGTATCAAAATTGGTTCTGACTCTTTATGTCTTCATTTTGGACCTGGCCTTATATAACCAGACAGTTATCAGAATCCAAGAAGCAAGATATTAATTCAGTTCATGCAGTTATTCCCAAGCAACTGATCTAGGAGTTCTGAGCTTTTCCAGCTCAGCTGAAATATTCTCATCTCATCTGTGTGCCACCAGAAAACTAAAGCAGCATATATTTTTTCTATCCTCACTAACACTGCCTCTGTTCTAGCTTCAGCTAAAGGACACTGTCCTCGTTTCCTATACAGAGAAGGCTTCCCTGGTTTCCATTCTTAACATCACTGCTGTGATTGTCAGTGGTTTGACAGGTGGCTATACTCTTCGAACTTTTTCTTCACCTTACTCACCATTTCTCCTAGCCGAGAGATCAGCTGTTTCACTTTGGAGTGGTAGCAAGCAAAGGAGGAGAGGAGACTATAAATCAGAATCTAGAGACCTGAATCCACCTGCATACCTTACAACCCAAGGAATGGTTGACTGAGGAGGAGGAAGTGTATGTCCATTGATCCAGAACCCAATTAAAGAATCCATGGTAGCAGTACTACACAACACCCCTGATCTAGCCAAATACACTAAGATCGAAATATCCAAATCATGAACCTCATCAACCTCTACCAATTTTCAGTTTGATGGACAAATATACCAACAAATCAGAGGAACATCCATGAGATCACCACTCTCAGAACTCATAGTAGAGATTACTATGCAGCATCTGGAAACTATAGCACTCCCACAAATACTTGAAAGTATTGATCTAGTATATAGACAATCCCTTCACCAAAATAAAGAAGAAATAACTAGAGAAGATACATGAAACAATCACATCTTCAAAGGATTAAAATCGACAAGGAAAGAAGAAAACAACACACTATCCTAATGAAAGAACTACCAAGGAGAAAACCACACCTCTAACAACATTGGCAAGGCAAACTACTGTATATAAACATACAGCAAAGCCCACTCTTACTTCACTTGGGAGTGGTGCACTGATGATGTTACCTTGTCAGGTAATAAAATGTCTACAAGCAAACAAAAAAATCTCAGAGAGCACTAAGAACTACACAGTTGAACCGTAAGCTATATATATTCTCTTCTATTGAAATTTGCCATTTCCACAGCCGTTGTAAACCGAATTGACATTTTCATGGAACAATTCATTATAATCTCAAATTCTCTTTTCTAATCTGTCACTTGTCTTTTCAGACCCTCCAAAGATTGATATTTTCATTGCTGGTTTCGGCTCATTGACTATTGATATTAAGAACTGGGGTAATTGTAATTAACAATTGTGTTTAATTGTACACAGCCCAGAGTGGCTTTGTGAATGAGATGGGCAGTCTCCATATTTGATATGTAAATAAATAAAATAAATACATTCTCAAAGAGGTAAGCATGTTTGTTGCAGCAACATAAAAAATGAATTTTGGTGCATCTTAAATGCAGTTGTTTAGCCATAGGCCATTGCAAAAACAGTCAATACTGCATAAACTGTGAATAATAACTACCATCAATAGGAAAACCAATGAATGGAAATCAAATATACCTCTTTAAGAAGTTAATAAATCCTGGGCAGAATTTTCTCTTACTTGCAAGAGCTGCACAGAGATGTTTAATAGCATGCACTATGTGTTGATTCCTCGCCAGCCAGTGGATCCGGCAGCTGAGTCTGAGGAATCAGATGAGGAGGAGGGGCCTGGAGTGACATTAGAGTCAGAGGAAGGCTCTGAGGAGCTCCAAGACTTACAGTCGGACAAGAAGCCTGGCCCCTCTACTCACGTGCAGGCCGAGACACAGCTGTGCTGGGAGCCTAAGTTGAACAGTGATGAAGAACAGTTGGGACAAATCCCGGATGCACGAATGCGCAGGAAAGAGAAGCAAGTAGGACAGAGGAATGCAATGGGGCGGCTCCAAAGGCAAAGGAGAAGGCATTAGGAAGCCACGCCTTGGCTGAATTATAAAGGGGAAGGTGTGGGAGGTGCTGGTTGCCGAAGGCACTGTTCGTGTTGAGGATGGAGTTTCTGTGGACTGTGTTTGTTTGCTTTGGACATTGACTCACGTCTATGAGAATAAAAGGGGTTGTTTTTTTCTTGCGGTTCCTGCCTGTTTCTTGGAAGAGGGGTTTCTCCTTATGACAGAACACTATGTTAAAAATATCTTAATTAAAAAAAAAGACTTGTGGACTTCTTCCTAGATATTTTATTAAGAGCAGTACAGTACTAAACACTATAATGGCACTCACAGTTTTACAAAAATCCCAATAGAAAGATATGAATGGACATATTTTCCATTCTAGTCCCCCCCCACAAACAATACATGAATCCGTACTGACACTTCCTCTCAAACTGGTCACCTGTATATAGAACTACTGGTGTAACAGGGGAATCATAAGAAGTTTCTTTTATAACAAATCAGATAATTAGTTTAGTTGGATTGCTAAATGATGGTGGTCATGCATGGCATATACTAACTTTAGTTCAGTCTCTTATCCATATTCACCAAAAATGAATGGAGGTTAAGACTAGGTTAGAAATCCCAAGGATTGACTCCAGGTGGTCATGCAAGGCATATGCTAACAAGTTCAGTCTCTTGTTTTTTTTCCATATACTATACCTAGACATTCAATTCCGGTTTCATTCCCAATGAAATCCCAGTAGAATACCCTTAAGAACGTTTTCCTGAATACAGTAATCAGTGCAAAATGGTTGCCATCAGCCAAATCACCCATTGACCAAAATGTAACTGGAAAGATTGTTCACCAACATCCCAGTAGTATTCCTGTGTCATTCCAGGTTATATTTGTCTTACTTCTGGACAAATGAGCATACTACCAAGCAAATCTTGACCGAAGTGATGAGCCACGTGTTCCTTCTGTAGATGCTATGCTATGCTTTGTTATTTCCAACTCACATTTTACATCACAGGATTTTAAAAAAGAAGGTTTTGAAGTATTAAATTCACAATCCATCTAAATGCAAATCAATGGAGCACATATTCCCAATTCGCAGCAGATACTAGTTCTGGGCCAGGTATTAGATTTACTGCTTTTTTAATGTGAAGGATGATTTCAATGGGACATTCTGGTCATGGCAAATTCCGTTCTAACTCTGGCATGCAATATTAAAAGTAGTTTACCTTAGAATAGAATAGAGCTGGAAGGGACCTTGGAGGTCTTCTAGTCCAGCCCCCCACTGAAGCAGGTGACTCTTCTTAAAAGTCTCTTCTTAAAAGTCTCCAGTGATGGAGCGCCCACGATTTCTGAAGGCAAGCTGTTCCACTGGTTAATTGTCCTTACTGCCAGGAAGTTTCTCCTTAATTCCAGGTTGCTTCTCTCTTTGTTCAGTTGCCAGCCATTGTTTCTTGTCCTGCCTCTGGTGCTTTGGTGAATTAATGCAACCTCTTAATGAGGTGTAATGGTGATGGTGATGGTTTAGAACTGGCCACCCTCAATCATAAAAGCTTACTGAGTGACTTCTGACCATTGCTCTCAGGCCAATCTCCTCACAGGCTTGTTAGTAGTGGTAAAAAACTAGGAGCAGGGAGGATTTGTTCATCTGGGAAGAAAACAGCATACTGTATACCTAGTAAANCCTTGCAAACTGAGTTCGTGGACTGCATTCATTTCAGAATTTGTCTTACCAAAGCTAATCTTTTTTTTTTTTTCAACAAACAAAACCATTTTAATTTTACACACAGTAAATCCTCCATTAGCATTTGTTCTGGTTGTGCATTTTACCTTAGAGAAAGTTGGTCATTTCTATGGCCAGTTATCTCGGTCTCAGATGCCCATTTTAAAAATAACTCACCTTAACCTCCTTCAAGGAAGCCTGAAACATTGTTCTTTCCCCCCAGGCCTTCGGATAAATTCGCTGGCAGGCTCCTCTAGCATGGGGGTAATGTGAATTTTTTTTTTTTAAATAAAAAATTCTTCCCATGGAGCAAGTGCGTCTGTGTGTTTTAATCCATTATAGGGGGGCGGGGGTGTTTTCCTCCTGCTTTTCGCTTTATGAAGCCAAGCTAAATCATTTGGCGGCCTGGAAATGAGATTAAATAAAAGTGCAAACCGACACACTTCCTAACGGAACATAGGGAGGGGCGATCTGGACCTCCCTTGAGGTCAAGCAAGTCAGTTGCAGAGAGAGCGATGACTCTTCTAACCTGCGCGTAACTCTGTGGTCCCTGATCTACGCTCCCCCCTCCCTCCGGCTCTTCTCTCCCGGCAGCCCGTTTCCAACTGCCTTCCATGGAATTTCCTCCCTGCTTTCCCCCGCCCGCTTCCTTCGCACTCGACCTGGGCTCCTTCCTTCTTTCCTCCCTCCCTCCCTCCCTCTCTCCTCCTTTTTCCCCCCTGCCTCAGCTCCTGCTTGTCCCTCTCCCCTTTCCTCTCGGACTTCACGCCCAATAGCTGCAGCCCCTCTTGCCACCCTGCCTGCTCTTGCACCGGATGCCTTCTTCAGCGCCCGACCCTCAGCTTCGCCTGCCAGCCTTCAGCATCTCTTCCTGCCCTATCAGGCTTCCTTTGGCTGCCTGTACTTCTCTCCGCTCCCCTTGCACATCTGGGTGACTCAGCTGGCCAGGGGACTCTGGCCATGGCTGAGCAGGACTTAGATCCCAGGTCTGAGCATGGCAGTGGTGGCTCGGCTAAGTCAGAAAGGACTCCCTCTATCAAGGGCTCTTCCAAGGTTTCCTTTTTCCTGAAAAACACCTCAGATTCACAGCCAATTTCCCAGAGCTCCCAAAGGTTCTCCATGATGTTAAATGCCTCCCCAGACTCTAACACATTCTTTGCTTTTAGCAAGTCAGGGTCCGATGCCTCTGAGATTGACCAGACCGAGAGAGACTCTTTGTCCTTCCCCAGTCAGGAGTCTAGTGCCACCACCTCATCCGTTCTTTCTTTTTCATTAATGCATTCCGGCTTGCCACGGTCCTCCAGAGCTGAGCAAGGGTTTCCTAAAGAAAGGGGAAGTTCAACTAGCTTTGTGTCCATTACCAAAGCAACTTTACAAACTGGCTCAGAAGCCAGACCTGCTCATAGGTTAATACCTCATCGACCTTCTCCTAAAATTTCCTCTATCCCTGAACACATCCAGAAACGTATTCTGCCCTTTTACGTAACCCTGGAACAGCTTCAGTCTGTGAAGAAGTTAATGGTGGCAGCCTTGGAAAAGGGCCTCAAAGAGAAGGACAAAGCAACCAGTTACTTACCTATGTTGCCAACTTATGTTTCTGCTTTGCCCGATGGTAGTGGTAAGCATGCTGTGAAATTTCATAGATTATGGATTTCCATCTTAACCCAAGATCATCAATACAGAGTCCATTGACAAACTTATTTTTTTTAAAGAAAATACATTTTTGAACATTAAAAATGATATAGATGTAAGGTGTTCTCACATGAGATCTCACAAGGAATGAATTTGAATGTTCTATTACTATTTATTATTTTACACAGATACGTATACATAACCCAGTGTAAGAAATTGCAGTGGTATAACCTCAAAATTTGTTCCCTACATCATACCAGGTAGTATTCATCACTACTAGGGGGGCAACTATTGAATAGGTATGGTTAAAGCCCTGGAAAGAAAGTCAGATACCATGAGTTTTTATTCTTGCTTAAGCATGGAAGCCAGCTGAGGGACAACCAATTCCTCTCTCTCAGATCAATCCACCTTACAGGATTATTGTAGGGAAATAGGAGGAGGAGTACTGCACACATTGCCTTGAGATGCACCGAAAAGAGTGAGATACCAGTCTAATGAATAAATAAGCCTGATGTATAGGTAAGAGATAATGTTTGGTTCCATGTTCTTGCTGGAATTATAACATCTAAAGTTGTATGCACGTAAGTGGGAGCATGCACATAATGCCTTTCCCCAAACAGTATTTTTCCCTGCTTGGAGTTGTGGAGAGAATATAAATTATGTCCACGAGATTTTTTTTTTTAATCTAGTGTTTGTTGAGTCTGCATACCCCTTATTCTCTAAAGGCTGTAGGCAGATTACAAAGTCAACATATAAAATAATGCCCCCACTCTAAATTCACATAAAAATAAAAAGATCAAGAATGATGGTCCCGGAATGCCCAGATCTGCTAACCTGCACTTTAACTGCAGTTAGTGATGTTTACTCATGGGCAGCTGGGTTGAGGCAACAATTCCTAGGGTAAGGATAAAGGTCTTGATCTGTGCTCTGAGTTCTTGGGCTTGTCCATAACAGGCAGAGGATTCATTAATGTAGTATAGTTATGTAGAATACGGTCTAGAAAATTTCTGCCACCTCCACATTATTCTTGTTGAGGATAGCTCTCCAACACTGTAGAGAAGCAGTTTCTTAATGACTTCACACTGAAAATGCATAAGATCATTACATGAGCAGAATCTGCACTCAAACCTCTTCAGTGTGTGAAGTGCTGTGGTAAAATTAGATTCCAAGGCTTTATTTATTTATATGTCATTTGTCTAAATTGTACCCAGAAACAAATGGGCAAGCAATGAAATTCCTGCAATATTGGCATTATATAATAATACCGGGTTGTCTTAGCTAAATGTGAGTTGTATTTTCATAAGTTGCAATTTATGGTCGTCAAAGATGGTCCATGTAGAACATACTACAGTAGTCTACCCACAAGGTGACAAGGAAGTGGGAGACTATAGCCAATACCTTCTACTTCAGGAACACTTGCAATTGGTATACTGTAGTTCTCGACTTACTACAGTTCATTTAGTGACCATTCAAAGTTACAATGGCACTGAAAAAAGTGACTTATGACCATTTTTCAGAGTTACAACCTTTGCAGCATCCCCATGATCATGTGATCAAAATTCAGATGCTTGGCAACTGGTTTATATTTATGACCATTGCTGTGTCCCAAGGTCATGTGATCACCTTTTGTGACCTTCTCACAAGCAAAGTCTATGGAGAAGCCAGAATCATTTAACAACTGGGTTACTAACATTGACTGCGCAAGTGGGGGTGAGTGCACGCACACATGTGCGCGGCCTGGTGACCAGTAGGCCACGGCCTGGTAGTAGGCTGCGGCCCATAGGTTGGGGACCCCTGATGTAGGTCATGCAAAGCTATAGTAACACAATCTTGCAAGTCTGAATGTGCTTCCTCCTCCCTCCCTTTATGAGAATTAGGGAGGAGATTGTCTCAATTTATTCAGTTTACATGCCTGCCCAGGGCTCAGGCCTCTTTCATCTGACTGTTGTTTTGGTAGTGGCTCTTCCATCCAGGCCATGCCCTCTGTCCTTTACATCACCTCCCCCATTGGCCCAGTCACACACACACACACACACACACACACACCCTGTTGTTCTTAAGAGAAATCCAAGTCTGGCTATGAGTACAAAATACAGATGTGCTGCTCCCCTCCTCTGCTGGCACTTTCCCAAGATCCCTCAACAAAACTTATAATTCATTTGTACTCTGAGAGTTCCTTTCTGCTGGGCTGCCTACTCTTTATCTTCCTGTTCCAGAAGAAGCTGCCTCTGCCTTGCGCTCAGTGCTGCATCCCTGGTGTATATGGAGCTGGAACTTCTTCCCTGCTCTCTAGTTGTGTACTTGACAGTTCTGTGACCCCTTCCGACCAATAGAAGTCAAACTCTTGCTCATTTTGGATTGCCCCAGTCTCTTGCAACAGTAGTAGTTCTTGTGGGTGGGGTTTTTCTTGTATGTCAATCAATGACTTGTGCACCAATTGTGGAGCATGCACGTCTGAGGCTGTCTTTCATAATCTCTCTGAATCTGGATAGCCTTTCTGCTGGACCAGGTATTCTAAACATTTTCCTTTATGTCTAGAGTCCAGTGTAGTGTCCAGTTCATATTATTTTACCCCATCTACCAGCATAAGGGAAGGTGGACCTGTTGTGTGCAGGGAGAAGGGTGCCTCTCTTAGAAGCAGATACCTATATCTATAGAATGCAGGATGAACCTTCATTGACGTTGGCAATTGCAAATGGAAGGCTGGGTTTATTTGTTTAATCACTGGGAAGGGACCAATGAACTTTTTAAGTCAAGTCTCTTGAAAATCAGGCAGATGGCAAAAGTTTTGTAGAAAACCACATCAAATCCCCTTCAGCAATTCTGACCCCTTCCTGCTTATGTACAGCCTATTTGTATGATGCGTTTACCAGGTCTAACTGCCCCTTTAAGGGCACTGGCCCACTTGCCTCTCTTGTAAGAAATCTGACCACAGGGAACTAATGATTCATTAGGTATGGAGGGAAACACATGAATGTAGCAGCTGAAAGTTGCCTGAAAAAGAAACATTTTGATGGGGGGATATATTGAACTGCTGTTGGCAAATTCTGCAAGAGGCATCATTTCAGCCAATTGTCTTATTGTTAGGAGAATTAGCTTTTTAAATATTGCTACAATAATTGGCTAACTTTCTTAAAGTCACCATTAGAACCTGGATGATGAGAGAATGACAAATTAATTTTAATATTTAAAAAGTGTGAAAACATCTTCCAAAATATGGATGTAAATGTGTGCCGTGGTCCAAAACGTCATAATTGGCTAATACCGTGTATCTAAAAACATTTTAGATCCAAAAACAAAAGCTGTGCTGCTTCCTGGGCTGTTGGGAGGCTCTTGCAAGGGATTAAATGGACCAGTTTTGTGAATAAATCCAGTACTACCAGATAGATGCTGGTATCCCTGCATTGGGGGTAGATAATAATAAAATCCAGTAATATTGAGTTCTAGGGCCATGAAGGGGTCTCTAGAAATTACAACAAGCCAGGTGGATTTCCAGGAATAGATTTTGTTTTATAATAGACGTGACAAGATGAAATGTAATCCCTTACCCTTAATCACCAGAAGTCCCTAACGTCCCCCCCCCGTGCCCTGCCATTCTATTGTCATGGCAGACAATAGAACTATTGTCATAGTTCTTCTCTTAAAGAAGGGGAATGTATAAACAACCATTATACAACAACTGCCCTCTCCTCTGTTGTGAAAGGTGAAAAATTGCCTTGTTGGGGTCCCTGAATATAATCCATTTGAACCCTGATATAAACTTCATGCTGCTGCTGTGCTTTAATCTGTTTTGAAATAATCAGCCTGTCTCCTGGCTCCTCAGTCTTTCATAGGATCTGTCTTTGGGTGGGACTCCAAATTGCTTGGTTGCAGTATGTTATTTGGAGTTGGGTATATAGGGTAGATTGTACTCAGGCATACATGAATGGGATCTGGAACCTTGTTCTGTTGGAAGTACAAAAATCAAAACAGAAGATAAAGTGTCCCTACCTGGTTTGTTAAGTAATGAGGGATTGTATCTCCCACAGACCTAAATTCTTATGGTTTGTACAATGATATTGGCAGCCTCTTCCAGGAAATGCCTTCATTACTGGAAAGCAGTTTTCATTACAAATAACTCCAAATGGAAATGTCATAGTTGCTTTCTACTGGGAGAAGCAACCTTGAATCAAAGGCACCTGGCAGTCGATTTATCTTTTTCTTCTTTCTTTATCTGGAGGAAAATTGTTCTTACTGGCAAATTTGAAGCTTTGGTCTGTATTAAAATGGGTGGAGTTTGGGTGTCTGAGTAGTGGCTGAGAATCAAAGAATTCTTTTAACTTTTGAAGTGCCTTTTATTCTGGTGTAGACCATAAGAATCAATTAACTTTGGAGGGGGGGCTAAGACAGTGGTTTTATATGTTCAGCAAAATTGGGTATGAACTTTCAGTAGAAAATAGCAAAGCTCAGAAAATGTTACACATCTTTCACTTTAGTGGAGCAAGGTGTGCAAGTGTGCCAGTGATAAAGAAAGATCGTACATTTACAGGATCCATTTGTATGCCTTCAATAGAGGTCCTATACCCCAAATCTTCTAATTAAGGAAGGTCAAAGGGACTCTACTCCTATTTGGAAAAACATTTATTTCCACAGTAGTTTTTAAAGACATGTCTGACATGCATTTCATGCAAGGAAGGATTCTCAGAGTAACCAACTTGTCATCTAAATACACCATTCTGTACTTATCTAAAATGTCCAAAAATATTTCATTCCTGAATCTAGAGAAGATAGTCCTACAAGCCAAACAACATCCCTGTATATTCAAACTTGTCATATTTTGTATCAAATGTGGTCAAGTATTCATTTCCTTCCTTCATTCCAATTAAGCTGTAAGTACTTTTTAAATCCAACTGTGTAAAAATGTGTGTCCTTTGGTGGCGCTCCAGGGGATCCCAAATAAGGAATAGAAGATAGTGGTCTTTAAAAATCATCTTGTTCAGATGTTTGTAGTAATGCACATCTCCTCAAGCTTCCCTTCAGTTCCTTTCTGAGTTCCTGTGTGTCCCCCCCGCCACCTTTATGGATAAAATATATTGGTGCATATCCTGGGGAAATGGGCATGTTTTTTTACATTGACATCCAAATATTCTTTCAGAATAGATAATTGACAAGTAGACCTAGAATATGTCTCCTTGCTTGAATTTGGGTTCCTGGCTTCAAATTGATGGCGCAATCACACAAGTCAGTAGGGAGGGAACACAGTTGCTTCTTCTCCAAATACATCTGCAATGTCTGCGTATTTGTCTTGCAAGGTGGTTGTCTCCATCTGCTATATTGGGCTGGGCTGGGAAACATTCAGTGCTGACAATCAAGTGTTGCTGACTTTTAAGGGAATGGGAATGTAAGCATCCCTTGTGTCAAAATACATCTGGATCAGGTAACAGCAGTCATTGGCAAGCACTTGCAAGGAAGAAGGGTGGTTTGAGGTCTGTGTTATTTTGGATTGTGATCTGCAATGAGTCTGTGCACAGTCCTGTTGTCAGTAAGTGTCTATCGCCCCTACCCCCATTGACCATTCAAGAGTCTGGTTTGAGAATCGTAATCTCTATACTATGGCCACATCCATAAAATTAATGGTTGCCCTGAATCCACAAGAGCAGAAAGTTCAAGTCTCTGGCCTGAATCTAAACAAAAATAACAGAAACAATATAGTATGCTTGCCTGCTCCTGGAAGAGGGTCCTGTGAAGTTTCCTAATATCATTGCATTAAGAATTGCCCCATGTATTTACAAATTCTACGTCTTGATGCTGTGTCAGAGACTTGAAATTTTGTTGTGCGTGATCTGGCTAAATGTTTGAGACTTTGCACTGAAAACACAGACCCAGATACCTTCTTTATTTCTCTCCTAGTGACAGGGATCTCTTGCCTGCTCCAGTTTGCATGGATTCCCCTGTGCAAGCTTCCAAGAGTGCCATCAGGAGGGGCGTGATGGGAGAAGATGTTGTTAAACCTTTTCCCTTGCCATGTCTTTTCTGCTTCAAGTCTTCCAGCTCCCATTTATTACATAACATTAGAACAGTTCTTCAGAATGAATTGGGATGCCTTACCTAATTATCTCATCTCTCAGTTCTTCAGCAAACCCTTCTCTGAACTGGTCAGTTAGGACAGGTCGTTGGCAAGTAATTTCAAGTCCAAGATATATAATCTCACTCTCCTCTGCTTTTGCCTGAATTTTCATATCTTCCAACTTGCAATCAGAACAAAAATCATTGGACACAATCATTTTGAATCTTCCATGAATTTTTGGTAATTCTTTGCTGTAAGCCACCCAGAGCTATTTCAATATGAGATGGCAGAAAAGAAAATAAAGAAAATCAATAGTACTGACAATCTGATAACTGGATTGCCGTCAGTGATAGATATGGTCATTTAGCTGCTCCTTGTTTTAGTAAACTTCACAAAATTCACTCTGGTATGATCTGCAGGAAACTCTGCCCTCCATAAACAGTTCCCATTGTGGTGTAAAAGTCAGGGTTTGATCTTGATGTCCCAAATTTTCCTTAGAAGCCCCAACTGGTTGTGCTGCAGGCTGCTGTATGGCTGTGGATTGAGGCAAATTCTGTCCCAACTATTATGTTAGCTGCATTGTGGTATTTGGTAAATTGTTTATTTGTACATTCACTTGCTGCTGGTTTTGTAGCAAAGCTGCAATGAGATGTTTGGCAGATAGCAGTATATCCTCCTATTTCTAGTAGTCAAAGTGAGATCTTCTACCTCTTTAGAAAATGGGAGACTAGCAAGATTAATGTTAGTCTTTCAGAATAGACCAGTTTATGCATCCAATATCATGTAGGTCGGTACTGTTTTTACTGCAAAGCTATAGTAACAGAATCCTGCAAGTCTGAATGGACTTCTACTTATCTTCATGAGAATCAGGGAGGGCTTGTCTGAAACATTTATTCATGTTACATTCCTGGATAGGAGTCAGGATTCTTTTATCTGATTGTTTTCTTAGTAAAGCAGTTCTTCCTATCTCTCAAGCATTCCCTCTTCTCTCTACAATGATCAGTCACATACCTTCCATAAAAAGGCAGATTAAGACTGAACAACAGTTATCTAATATAGCTTGATTCAGGTTAGCTTCTTAGATTAGGTTACCCAATGCCCTCTTCGGGGACACTGATGTTTCATTTTCCCACAAAGCATTCAAACCCAGTTTTCATCCTTTCCTTGGCACAACCAAGTCAGGTCAGACAGGGTTCAAGAAACCCCCTAAAGGACTCTGGATTACCTCATGATGTACAGGTCATATTGTTTCTAGATGTTTCTGCTAGACTTAATCATTGACATCTCTTCAAATTCTGTGTACCTGACTGAATGAAGGCAATCTGCTTTGTTAGTAATTCTCAGTGGTTCATTGATTTTACTTCCAAATCATCTGTCCCTAAAAGGCTATAGGTTACCGTAAAAGAGCTGCTGGAATCTTGGGGGTGGTGGTGCTGGAGGCTGTTGAATAAGGACAGAGAAATAGTTCTGTTTTGCTGACCTCCCCACCATAGCATAGGCTCAAATCTCAGTTTGCATTCATGCTCAGTCAGATTTGTTTTCACCCACTAGTGATACTCTTAAGTATCTCTTCTGATGCTTTATTTAGGAGTACTTCTAAAAATTAAAGAGCTCATCAGGACTGGTATGTAGGAAGAAGTCACTTGGGATAAATCTTGTTGAGAGGTTTTGTTATCTCCATATTCCAAAGGTCAACTAGACTCTCCACATAACCACATTCTAGGCTATTGGGAAACTCCCTAAGTGCTATCTAGAAACAAGCTGGACCTACCAGGTGTCTGGGGCAGAGCATTCAAATAGCTCCCATCTCCCTACAGAGGTTGTGGCATTAATCAACCCCACAGTTATCGGAAAGTGAGCCAAAAGAGATGATTGGCCTCAAATTTGCAATCTTGCATCCTGTTTCACACCAGATTTCCCTCAGCCTGTAATTATCTTTATCTTCCCTTCTTTTCTCTCCTTCTTCTTTGACCTCTCTTTGCTTTTCAGGAACCACATGATAAACAATTTTCTATCTGCTGAACATGCACAGATCTGAATAATTGTTTCTTTGCTTCCATGCTTTTGTCGAATTTTTTTTTTTAGAAAGAAGAGAAAATAAATCCTTACCTATCCTCCAGATCTCTGTGGGAAGCAAAGATTAGGATACCCTTGTCTCCTGTTCTTTTCACAATTTGTCCCTTCTCTAATCAATCTTAGAAGTAGGTATTATCAGAAAACATTGTTTTATTTTACTCTCTTTACATTTACATTGCTTGCAAGAAAATTACAGGCCTGACTTTCCCTTTTTTTATAACCATCATCCATTTTTGTTAACATTTCACAAGAAAAATATGTATCACACAACTTTGCACCACATTCTACTTGACAGCACATTGAAACTTTGTTGAAAAAACTACCATGAAATAATATGGGGGGAATTTCAAGGCGGAAGTAGCATCTAAAATGACCCTGTCAGTATAAGACATAATGTCTATGTACATCCACTCTTAGATGCTCCATACACTTCAATTGCATCTAGCAACATAATCTAAAATTTTAGTGTGTATGCAGTGCTGGCTTATACCTCTGCATTAGCAGAGACAAGGATGGCATAATTTGTTTCCAAACACTTTTTAATCATCATAGAAGGTAAAAGGTTGGGTATAAACACATTTATATACCTTCATTGCAAGAGGAAATCCATGTAAGCCTATGGTGGCAAGAAAAACTAGAAATGGGGTAGCATATTTTTTTGACTAACACACTTTATTAAAGGGCATGAGCTTTCATGAGCCAAAGTGCAGCTCATGAAAGTTTATGCCTTTTAATAAAACGTGATAATCACAAAGGACCTACCAGATTTCTGATTCTGTGCTTCCTCTTAACTATATCCAATTTTATCATGTTTTTATGTGATAAATTAGTGGAACAGGCATGTGAGTCTTCACTATTGTGTAAGACCCTGCTGTTCTAATTTTATGGCAAATGTTGATAAAGTGGTGATGAGCCTCTGTTATTTTTGATAGGTTGGCATTTGTGATAGTCATTCTGGACAATGAGTAACGTTTCCTTTCCCGGTGGGAAATAATCTATCATTGCTTACTCTTTACGGTCTTTGGGTTTAAAATTGTGCATTGATCTGTAAATAAATAAACAAATAAAACACCAAGAAGCATCATCTTTCATCTGGAAATTGAAAGCTGTTGTATGGCAACCATAGGACAGTGATGGCGAACCTTTTAGAGACTGAGTGCCCAAACTGCAACCCAAAACCCACTTATGCATCGTTGAGTGCCGGGTGGGTATGGCCAATTGGCTGGGCGTGGCCCATTGGCTGGGCGTGATCCATTGGCTGGGCATGGCTGCGGTAGTAACGGCAGACTGGGTGGGACTAAAAAGTTCAATCAATCAATTCCAACTTTGCAAGATCTTTTTTTTCCCCGCAAGAAATTGACTGATTGAACCTTTTTTTTTTTTTGCACATGGCGGCGGAGGCCTAAAGTGAAAATGTTTTATAAAACCCAGCTGAAGGCCTAGGACTGGGGCGACGGCCGCATGCCCACAGAGAGGGCTCTGAGTGCCGCCTCTGGCATCCATGCCATAGGTTCGCCACCACTGCCATAGGACGACTGAAACACAGTCTTGATAACTAAACATCTAGATACTTACATGTCTTTTTCAGAGAGAGGGGATTTTCTGGGACTAGAGTTGACTTTTGATCAGGTGAAAGTCTTGCTGTTACAACTGACGGATAATGTTGATGAACCAATGGTGGTGAAAAAAAAGACTTTCTCATTTCCTGAGAAGATCTTGAGTGGCAATGGACAACAGGTATGGTTCTATGCATCTGAATTTGTCCGTTTGTCTAATCCATAAAATCCAGTTCAGCTCATCTAATCCATAATTACTTGCTATTATGATCTCATTGGCGGTCTGCAGTCTTCACCTTTTCCCCTTTTGTACCATATTTAAAAGTTATTTTATTGATTTTCTAACTTTTTTCCCACTTTTTCCCATTTTTCTTAGCTACTCTCACTCCGCTTTTCTTTGCTTTCTTGGAACTTCTGCTATACTCCTCTTGGAATACTTTGATTTTAGGAAGGAGAAGGGAACTCAGAGGAATTGAAGGTGAATCGTGAGAATTCCTACAAATATGATCCACCTGTTCTCACAGTGCAAGAGGACATGCTGCAAAATATGCTACCCCATTTCTTCTGGCACAGCAGCTGAAATTATTTAGCTCAGCTGAAAAAATTTCTGCAAGAACCCGTGGCATAAGGGGAACCTAAGGAGAAAACACTATGCCAGCACAGTCCTGCATATGGAAAGGGGCTGTGCCTTTTATTTTTGGGATAATCTGTCTCCTACTAAATCTTTAGCCACTTGAAAAAAATCTTCTCCATTTGAGCATATTTTGATTGCAATTTTTATATGTACTATAAACATATAATCCTTACATTCCCAGAGATAATCAAAAATATAATAAAATAATATCTCTTGAATGTTTTTCTGTCCTCTCAGTGGCTTTCCCTCCACATGTTCCCTCCTTTTTCCTGTATATTTTATTTACATTTGCTCAATTTCTCCTATATATTAAAGGAGGTTATCCATAGGTTACAAAATTGGACAGTAAAAAGGTTAATTCCTTCCTTCTTGATTTAATTTCCTACCGAAGTTAGACATCCTCTTGCAAAGCATATATGTGCAGACATGTTACATAGATTTAAGAATGAATTAAATACCCTGTAGTATATCTTTTTTTAAAAAAAAATTGATTCATTTCATTCACATATTTTTTAAAATCTTATCCATCTTGGAAGTACATTTATTTTCTCTTACATTTTAATATGCTTGTCTTTTTTCAGAGAAATTAGAGCCAGAGAACTGAGCAAAGATAAGGGTATTGTAGCAATACAATTTCAATAGGGAGATAGCTTCAAATGCCCATTCAATCATGAAGCTCATAGAGAGACTTGAGCTAGTCCCTATATCTATCTATATTTAGACTAATTGCCTACCTTGTAAAATTGTGAGAATAAAAGGGCGAGGAAACATGTATAACTTGAATGCTACATAGATGATGAACTAATAAATTGAAGATGATGATTCAAGGATTTTTTTTTTAAAAAAAAAGTCAGGTTACCTAATTCTGTGAGGTTCTGATCTGAAATTTTTATTTTGTCTTTAAATTCTGAATTGTCCCATTTTGGAGGATGGGGGCATAGTCTGTCTACTTACAATGTTCTCCTTGTTCTTTCAGGTTTTTGAATTCATGGCTCAATGCCTGAGCACATTTTTGGGTGGACTTAATTTAAGCAAGAAATATTTCCCACTGGGTTTCTCCTTCCCCTTCTCTTGTGATCATATTGCACTGAACCAGGTGAATAATTGATTGACAATAGCAAACTATCTGGAAGACTGGAAAGTGTGTTTTTTAGATTCGCATTTTCTGAATGGGAAGGACAAAGAAGAAGAAGAAATAGGATTTGACCACAACTGCTGCCATACAACACTGCCTGGCAAGGAATAGCTGTAAAGAGATTTCTACATTAATGTTTTATAGTGTCATGTAGCATCACCCCATCATTGTTGTGGCGATATAAAATCTGTCTTCATTAGTGATATATCGCCATAGCAATGGTTGCATGCTCTAAAAGATGATATAAATCATTGGAGTGAAAAAAGCCTTGCTTAAAAGGACTGGGAACAGAGCTAGTCTAGTTTGAGGCAAAGTGAGGAAGCAGCATCAGGTAGCACATAATAAGAAAAAAAATAGGTGTCTAAGGATAGACGCAGGGGTAGGCAACCTTGGCTCTTTTATGACTCGTGGACTTCAATTCCCAGAATTCCTGAGCCAGCCATGCTGGCTCAGGAATTCTGGGAGTTGAAGTCCACGAGTCATAAAAGAGCCAAGGTTGCCTACCTCTGAGATAGAGCTATGAACTACCCAACTTCCCTATAGACTTTGATGTACCTTGCTATCCTTGAGTAGTGGGGGACACCTATTGCAAGTTTGAAATAAGATTCAAATGTCATTCCAGTTGGAGTAAAAAAAATTTAGAAACAGAATTGATAGGAGCCTCAGAGGCCATTTAATCCAGTTGCCTCCTTAGTGCAATTGGATTAGTGCTAAAATATTTTGGACAGATAGCACTTCAGCCTTAAATGAAGGCCTTTAACGAAAAGGAACATAGCACTTCATGAGGCAATCTATTGCATTTATTGATAGCTCTTACCATTCAGAAATTCTTACTAGTATCTAATCCAAATCTACTTTACTGTAATTTTAATCCGCTGGGTTTGCTGCTTCTCCTCTGCATTTTTAAATAAAATTGCTATCATATCTCCCCTTAGTCTTCTCATCTCAGAACTGCTAACTGCTCCTCGTGGGCTTGATTTCCAGTCCTGTTACCATATTGGTAGCAATTCTCTGAATTCACTCAGGATTATCAATATTTTATTTGGACTTTAGTGCCCAGAACTAGAACAATATTCCAAGTAGAACTGAAAAGGCAGATGAGGTTTGGACAATGACTTTCTGTGATATGGATTCTCTGCTCCTGCTAATGCATCCAAAAATGATATTTACCTTTTTACTAGCTGCATTATATTTTTGATTCATGTTCTTATAATCTTTTAGAATATCTGGAGCTTTTTCACATGTATTAACAAACTAGTTGTCCCTTATTATCCTATGCTTGCAGATTTTGTGTTTTTCCTCATTAGATGCAAGATTTACATTTCTCCCTGTTAAATTTCAGGGAGTTCAACTTTATTTATTCAGCCTATGTTGAAGCCTGTCTAGAGCTTTTTGAATCTTTCATTTCTCTCCCATAATATTATCCACTGTTCCTAGTTTTTGCACCATCTGCAAGTCTGATCATCATCCTGTCACCTTTCCCACTTTATTAAGGTCATAATTAAAAGTGTGACAGACCTAAGCTGAGGTCTTTTAATTGTTGCAATCGTATGTAAGTGCTCACAATCATGTTGTTTAGTAACCTGCTCCAGGACCCTCTCCTGTGCAAATGTCAAGCTGATAGATCTGTAATTTCCCAGATCCTTCTTCCTATTATCAAAAAAAGAAGGGACAGACTATGGTCTCCTTCAGAATTCTGGGGACCCTAGCAGGTCTCCATTTCCCAAAGGTTAGTTAGTAGTTTTGCGATAACCCCCACTAGTTCTTTCAGTACCCTTGATTTTAATTTGATACTTTGGTTCATTTAAATTAGCTGGGTTTTTAAATTTTGTCTGTCCTATGATGCATTTCCTATTAGTGGCATGGTTATGGCCAGTTAAGGTTTGTTTCTTTTCTGAGAAAAGATATATTTTTCACAGAAGTTAAAACATTATTTCCTTGCCATCATCCATTACCAATTCTCCCTGCAACAGATCTATATCATCTTTGCTTTTTCCCTCCCCTCCCCCATGATATACCAGAAAAGTATATTTTGCTGTTTTGAGCACTTCCTACAAACTTCAGATCAGTTTTACTTGTTAGACAGAAATGGAATATCTACAATTTCTGGCAACTGCCTTATATCTTTGGTTATATATCATTTCCTTAAAAAAAGATTCCTTAATTTTTTTTCCTTAAAAAAAGACCCCTTAGACACACACAGAGCTTTCTAAAATGTGGAGAAGAAAAAAGATTAAGGTATCTTTTTTCTTCTCCACATTTTAGAAAGCTCTGCGTGTGTCTATAATGATAATTTTAAATGTTTCCTGTTTTTTCTTCATGTAAGAATTATTTGAGTTTTTACTTGCAGAATCACCCACTTTTTACGTTGTGTTTGTTCTCCTGAATAAGTTGTAATTTTTCAGGCTATGTTCCAATTGAGAGTCACCTCAATGAATTTTGATGATATCTATGGCTGCATATTGTCTGCTTGTATTAGGCTTCTCTGTTCACTTTTCATACTCCGTATTTTAGTGTAGGAACATGAGATTGTAAGTGATAGTCTCATTGGCTTCACCGTTCTTTCCTGCCTATTTTTAAATTACCCTTCTCTCTCGTGCTCCTCCCTTTATTTTTTGTCTTGTTGGCCCCAATTTTTGCTGGTATATTTCATTTTCAGCTTTTGTTACCCTCTCTCTTTTGCACTAGAATTAAAACCCTCTGATAACATAGTGCAATACCCACCAAACATGGCTTCCCCATCTTTGTAAGATGTAGCCCTTCTCTTCTCAAAAGCATTCATTCTTACATCAGATCAGGAAGCAAATCATCCTAGATTAGCCTTAAGTGAAATATTTTTATTATAGTTTACTATTTTACGTATTCTGTTCTGAAAAAGAGTGCTTGTAGGTAATATCTTAGCTTCATAGTGGCTACTGCATATGTTAAAGAAAATCTCCCTCTCTGTTTTTTTCCCCTTAGTGTAAACTGATCAGATGGACAAAGGATTTCCGATGGCCAGGTGTGGAGGGGAAAGATGTGACCAAATTGCTCCAAACAGCTATCAACGAGGTTTGCAAGGTTAGAGTAGTAACTGAGTCAACGGCAGTAAAAACAGAGGTTTTTGTAAGACAGAGCAAGATAGCCACTTTGATCTTTCTCTTACTTTTAACTACTCTAGAATTACCAAATAGAAGTCCTTGCTGTTGTGAATGATGCTGTGGGAGATTTGATGAGCTGTTCTTCTAATGTCAGGCCATGTCAAATGGGAGTAATGATAGGTAAGCAAATGCTGGGCACAAGATAATATTGCTGATCAACTACAAGGATCATACATGCCACACTTTGGGGGGGGGGGTTTGCCCAGGTGTTAGATATATATCTGTTAAGCTTCTTAACCGAGTACTGGACTATGTCCATAAAGGTAGTAAGGAAAACCAGAAAGGTTTTGCATTTCCTCAAAACAATGAGCACTAGCCATTGTTCAAGATAAAGAAGTATCACCGATGAGTTCAATATCTTAAAAAGTTTAGCAATTTCAAACATCAATAAAGGTAGTAGATAGTTTCATTTAACTTTCACTTCTCGTGCTTAGTGCTTTATTGTGATTATTTCCTTTGCATTGTACTTTTCCCCTGTTGTTTCTTTTCCTGGTAGATGCTGGCACTAACTGTTGTTATATGGAAGATACACAGTGCATACCAGGAAACGTGCAGGAAACTAGGGGATACATGTGCATAAATACAGAATGGGGGAGTTTTGGGAATAATGGAGAATTGAATGGGATGCTAACAGAGTTTGACACGTTGGTAGATAAAGAATCCATGGATCAAGGAAAATGCAGGTGGGTCCTAGTAAAAGAAATGAAGGCAACATAATGATTATGAAGCATTAACCTGTAGAACCAGTGAATTAATGGGTTATGTCATTTCTGTATTCCAGTAAAAATCAGAGTTGTTGCTTCAAATTCTGTTCTTGAAGCCCCCAAAGCCTTACAGATACCATTTATAACAATTACATTTCATGAAATACCAAAAAACAAAGAAGTAAAAAATTCATGGCTGGGTAATATTTTTTATTAGAATCAATTAAAACACAAAAACTCTTCATCAGGTAAAATATTGCAAAAAGAGGGGGGGGAAGTGAAAAAAATGCTGATATGTAATCCATGAATTCAGTGGCTCAAAGCTTCAATCAAGGGCAAATCACTTCAATGTGCCCTTGTTTCCGCTAAGTTAAAATATTATTATGTATATTTGCCTTGCTTTACCCCATCTTATCTGTACTTCCATTTGATTTTTTACTGGATTTCCAATTTGACATATCTACAGAAAACTGCCCTGGAACTAGGATCCTAAAATTACAGAACTATAGTTGATTCCAGGATTGTCAGTAAATCCAATAACTCTGATTCCGTATATTACACTCATTTGTTAGTGTGGGATGAAACTTGTTTGGTCTTTCATAGCAGCGGGTGTTAAATAAGACATAGCCAAACTGTTTTGTGAATTGTGTATAGTTTACCTTCTAGCTACCCAAGATGGATGTTTCACTGCTTCCACTCAGATTTCTTCTTTGGGCAATGATTTTCCTCTCTTATTGCTGCCAGGTTTGAGAAGATGACCAGTTCCTATTATGTTCGTGAGACGGTCCGAATTATTTTGGCTAATCTGTCTGAGAATGCTGAATTATTCAGTGGTGTTCTGACTCCCACATTATTAATCAAGGGGAAACTGGCACTGCAAGACATTGTGGAGGTCACAGAGTAAGCTAATCTTGTGATATCAGATTTTTTTTCCTTATACTAAAAATAGTAGTAGAATGAGATTTGGGATGACTTATCAGTTTAATCTTAGTCCTACACATGGCAATCAGGAGGAGTGAGCCTTTTAAATTTAACTTGTGACTCATATATTGTTAACTTCTTTCTTTTGAGTATCTGCAGACTGCACAGATATATTGTTTATGACATCTCAGGTAGGATAACTACTAGAATAAAATATCCTTATAAAAGGTAGCAAAGAAATGGGATTTTAGAGGTCATATAATATATGTAATTTCTCCCTCTCTTATCCACCTGAGAATACTACTTTATGAGGATATAACAGTCTAAAAAACATGCACACACAAAAACCTCCACAGCATTATTACATGGGGTATCACATTATGTAGGAAATATTTGTTGTCTTTACTAGAGTAACACATCATGATACATGATGAGATATAAAAGTATTTTAGAAGAATGACAAACTTGATAAACAAATCTGCATAATCACTGTTGCAAATCATTGAAGATAATAAATCGTAATTAATAAAATAAAATAAAATTGTTTTCACTGACGGGCTAGCATTACGCTACTACAAAGATTATATACATTAGGTAATTTTCTTTAAAACACGCATCATTTGAAATACTGTATTTCAACTGATATTAAATTTATTTGATATAGTATTAAAAATGCATGTGAATTTTGGCACATAGCTTAATGACATTTTTCTTACCTAGAAAGTGGTTTTATGTAAGGCAAGTGTACTAACTGAAAGAAAGAAGTCACATGTTATGAGAGTTAGCAATTCCAAATGTGTTATTACTGAGCAGACTCCTTCAGCCATTTGTTTTTCCATCTTTTGCAGAAATTCCTCCTGCTTTTCCCTTAATGATGCTTTAGTACAGCTTGTATGCTAAAATTGACCACTGTTAATATTAACTAGGGTTTTTTTTTTTATCAAGATGTGCATTTCCTCCTTCAAGGCCATTTAAGAAGTTAGCTGGTTAGTATTTATCACAGTTAGTGGCAGTGTAGACTAAACATTAAACCATGATTAAGGAAAGAAAGTTAAATTGAATTTGCATTGGTAATATGTCATCTTAAAAAGTAGAGCACCTCTTCCAAACTATTATAGCTAGATTTATTCATTTAAAGGCAATAATAACCTTTGCTGAGGTTAAAACTGGTTGTGTCTTCTGCATGCATCTCATTTAACTCATATATATTTTTAATTACAGTGATAAAGTGGGTCTTGCCAAAACCAAAAATTTCCTTTGTCGTCTTGGACTAGTAGCAAGCAATCAAGATTGTTTCCATGTGCAAGAAATATGCCAAGCTGTATACACCCGTTCTGCCAAACTCTGTGCTGCTGGAGTGGCTGGCGTTCTCACACATATTCATAAACAGCAGCAGCTCCCAGAGATGAAGACCTGTGTAGTTATGAGTGGGGACATGTACAAGAGCCATTCAGTGTAAGGAACTGCATTGGGCATAGGGACATTTATTTTCATCCAATCAATGCTAGTCTGTCTGTCTGTCTGTCTGTCTGTCTGTCTGTCTGTCCGTCCGTCCGTCCGTCCGCCCCTCCCTCCCTCCCTCCCTCCCTCCCTCCCGGATTAGGTTGTTACTTCTAGAAAATCTTTCTATGGATGATTTCTCTCTTCTTCAGCCTAGCAACCAATATTTATTTATTTTTTATTATCAGCTAAGTAAGTCTCTGTTTTGCTGCAGTTTCTTGTATAAGCCGTGGTGTGTGTGTGTGTTTGTGTGTGTGTGTGTGTGTAAGAGAGAGAGAGAGAGACAGAGACAGACAGACAGACAGACAGACAGACAGACAGACAGAGAGAAATGTCTCTATCCAGTTAAATATTTCTAAGCTTTAATTGTTTCCTTCGGATATTTGGTTCTCCTAAGCTAAAGAAGTTGTCTACACCCTCAAACTATAATTTTTACCATTTTGTATTAAAATTTGGATAATGTAAGGAAGCCTATATATATATATGCTTATAAGAAGCAAATTTACTCCTTTTTGAGAATGATAATCCTAAAAAGAGGCATAGTTCAAGAAAGAGTAATTGGACCAATGCGACAGATTACTTCTTGTCCTTATCCTTCAAAAAGCCTTGACATTTCTTCTCCCTCCAGGTACAGTGAGATGCTACAGCAAACCCTGAAAGAGCTGGTTCCCGAGTATTCTCTCACATTCATCCCATCAGATGATGGCAGTACCTTAGGGGCTGCCATAGTGACAGCTGTAGAAGTGAAGCTTAGAAACCACCGAGAGGGACTGGCTCACGTTCTGGCTCCTTTAAAGCTTTCAATTGTAGATCTTGAAAGATTACGGAATGGGATCAGACAAGAGATGGAGAACGGCCTGTCGAAGGCAGCCAGCAAGAAAAGCTGTCTACACATGTTGCCCACTTTCGTCTGTTATTTGCCTGATGGCTCTGGTGAGAGAAGGAAGCTGGGTAGAACCTTATATCTAGAGAGGGAAGTGTTTTGAACTGTATTTATGGACTTTGCCTCAGGGAAGTCAGGAGAAAACTTTCCATGAGACCGGATCTTACCTGAGCCTGGTCATTTATCTGACCTGAGACCACTGCTGTTTATATTGCTGCAAAGGGCACTATGCTTGTTTTTATTTATTATTCCATCTTTATTTTTATAAATAACTCAAGGCGGCGAACACGCCTTCCTCTTCCTATTTTCCCTAAATAACAACCTTGTGAGATGAGTTGTCTTGAAAAACAGTGGACTGACCAGAGATTTCCCAATTCATATAAGTCAATAGATTGGAACAATTTCACATGCAGGGATGCACTTTTACCCCAAACTTATACTTGAGATCCAGTTATCATTTCCTACTGCACATATGTTGCAATGGCAGCTGTGCTGTTCTAATCTGCCAGTTGTTCAGCAGCAAACTACTCTTAGGTCTTAGGCCATCAGATAAAAAAACTTACGTGCTAGAGGGCACATAAGATTTGCTAAAGGAAAATAGCTTGTTTCCTTTGACTCCATTTGTTAAGGCTGGCAAGAGATTTGCCTCGCAGGAGAAAAAAAGCAGGGTTTTCTTGAAGCATCCGGATGAAGGGTGTGGGTTGTAAAAATCTGTCTATTTCACTGAGGCTGTTTTTATCCATATTCTTTTTACAGAGAGAGGGGATTTCCTGGCACTGGATCTCGGTGGAACCAATTTCCGAGTGTTGATGGTACAGGTGAAAAGCCAAGAGGAGGGTGGTGTGCACATCATCAATGAGACTTATACCATTCCACCAGAAATAACCCAAAGTACTGGGATACAGGTAAGCGCAGGAGAGGGATGATATGGATTTGGTTGATTGAGCATGAATGATTTGTGGATTTCCTGAATCCTTGTGACATATGGATATGGACACTCATTTTAGTATTAGGACTAGCAATTTTGCCAGTCAAGTAACTTCAACTCCAAATTTATTTTTGCATCATATCCCACTTTCTTCTTTTGTATTCCTATAGCTTTTTGACCACATTGTGAACTGTATAGTGGATTTTCATATTAAGCACGGGATGTCTGAACATATTCTACCGCTCGGTTTCACTTTTTCCTTTCCATGCAATCAAATAACCCTGGATAAGGTATGGAACTGAATGGATGTGATTCTATTATACGGGTAGTAGAATGTATGTATGTAACAAGAGGTGGAAAAGGAAAGAAACAAGAATGAACGCGTGAAATATAAAAAAATGAACTGTTTTCTCCTTATTGTTTTTCCTGTTATTTAATTGAAAGCATCTAGAAATGTTCTAGACTGAGTCAATCAATATCAAAATCAATCAATTAAAAGGATAGCAAAGAATTAAAAAAAACCCAAAGACAATCATGATGTGGTTTCTAAACTGGGAAATCCAGCTATCTGTTGGGAATGCTACCAGTAATGACTTCCAGGGAACATTTTTTCCAATAGTTCCATTCTTTTCATCTGATAAGTCATGACTTGCTATAATTCTGTAAAAACGCAGAAAAACTATCCAGTTTTGTATTGGAATGTTTCTAGTCCTTACAGTTGCAAGACGGGAAGGTAAATGCTGTTCAGAATGTTTATTTCTTAAATCAGTCTTGCTTTATTTCCTAGCTGTTTGCTACTTACTTGCTGCCATTTCTCCCTGACAAAATAGTTAGGGAATAGCCTAATGCTGTCATAGACAATCTTTTAGGGCATATTTGAAATTTTAAGATTTCATGGGCATTCTTTTTACAAAATGGCTGCCAAGATGCCATGGGCAGTCACAGGATGTCAATTTATCAGAAGTTACCTGGTTAGGTACCCTTTTCTCATTCAGCATAGTGTGCTCTACCCAATTTACTTTTGTCTTTTTTTTGGTTAGATCTACATACTGCCAATAAAACCCTGAGTAACTGCCACCTACTATTTTTCTAGAATGCCAGTGTGGTCCGTATGGCAAAATATCATCCTTTAAAAAAAAAACCCTTAATGATCCTTACACTCCGTTCAAGCTCAAGGAAGGCATTCTGATAGGCATCATGCTTGTAATGTACATACAAAAATACATTTTTTTTAACAACGGACACTGTATTGCCTACCCCAGTTTAAGGTTTCATTGAATAGTATGTTACGTACAAACAGCTTGGAGATAGCAGCTCTATACTGAACCATTCCAAGTGGGCAATTTCCCTTTTTTTTTCTGGGCATTGACAGGGCATCTTGCTGAGATGGACTAAGGGCTTCAGCGCCACTGACTGTGTAGGAGAAGATGTTGTGAATTTGTTGCGGGATGCAGTACAGCGTCAGAAGGTATATATGACATCCAAAAGCAATGTCTAAATAAAACTAATGTATTTGACATGGGTTGTTCAAGCTTACTGACCAAAATGGTGCTATAGACGGCAGGAGTATATGCCATATTCCTCTGCAAACTATATAATTACTTACTGATTTTCTAAAAAAAAAAATGCAACTTCAAGAGGGATAGCTGTATAGATAAATTTCTTATTAACAATTATTCTTTGCCAAACCTCTTCTATAAATCTGAGCCTAGTTTTCTTTTCCCTGAAGTAGGGGCTTATGTCATGTGAAATGGTCCAGAAGCTAAACAATTTTTTTTAGCAAATCCAAACGCAAAGGAGAAGGAGCAGGCAAATAACTGGTTAAAAGTATGTCTCTTCAGATTTGGGTTCTTTGTCCTAGTTATTTTACCCTAGAAAAAGTAGTCTTTTCCTATTCATTGCTTATGTATACATGTGGTTCCACACAGAAGATTTTTCTCAACTTAATGAAGTTTGATAATGGACTGGATGAGAAAAAACAATCTAAATTTAAATCCAACAGCAAGACAGAGGTCCTTTTAGTAATCTGGAAACTTGATTTGGCGATTCAAGGGCATCCTGTTTTGCACAGGAATGCAATCCTCTGAAGGAAGAGATTTGCAGTCTGGGAATGTTCTTTGATTTCAGACCCTTTGGATTCTTGGTAAATTGTTGTGGCAAGGATGGCTTTTGCATTGTTTTGTATGTTTAGTTAGCTGGGTTCCTCTCTAAATCAGTTATTTTGGCAGTGGCTATCCATGCCTTAGTTATACCCCATCTTGACTACCGCAACATTTATCACGGGACTATTTTTTAAACATTTCTCGAAGCTATATTTCAAGTGGTTAACTGGTGCAAGATTTTTGGATCGTATGATCCCTATATTGCAAGATCCAACTTGGCAATCATCTGTGGATACCACTGAAGGTATTGATCACGACCTTTAAAACTGCAAACTGTTGAGACCCTATCTGAATCTTTATGAACCTGTCTGATTTTAACTTTGGGAGGAACAACCTGCTTGAAGAAACTCTGGCTATTAAACGATAATCTTTCTGGCATACAGAAGACACTGCTCTCCCAGTTGTTCTGTGGAATACACTTTTTTGGCAGGGGGGGGGGTAGTAGCTGGTATCTTTCCCCCCCATCCCTTGTGTAGGACAAGGATGCAACTTTTTTTTGCTAAGGTTTTAATTGTTAGATGTTGTGATATTTATTTTAATTTGTATTTGTAGCTGTTTATATACTATTTTTATTTTTAGATTCTGTCAGTTACCACGAACACTTGCCAGAGCAGGAAAGTAAGATATAAATAAATACCTAAGTGGGAAGTTTGAATTGACTTAGTGATTGCTGTTATACACTCAGCTTACAAGCTCAGTTCGAGACCTGGTAGATGCATTCCCCTTACAGTGGTATCCACAGAAGGGTCCGCAGATATAGCATTGGGATAAAGCCCCAATCTTTTGTATATGTATGTGATGTAACACATAAAAAGGGACAAAATTTGGATTGTGTTGTTACAGCCACTATAGTATCTTGCCTGTTCTGACACCACCACTAATTCACAGATGCTGCTGTTCATACAGAATGTTATGCTTAGAATGTTGATTAAAAATCTTGATTAGATTTTTTTGGGGGTGACTTATTATATTGTATTAACCCAAACCATCTGGTTGGTTTTTAGTTCATTGCATTGTAGCAACTCAAAAATAGATCAATTCAGTAGCCAGTTAAAATATGTTGTGCAAATACAGTCAGTATATATAATGTGCCATAATTGAAGTATATTTCCCATAATCAGATGGGAAAAGTTACTGGCTCTGTTCTTACAATGTGCTTAAAACAATTGGCCGCTAAACTGATCAATTCTTACTGATACAAGCACGTAATTAGGCAGTTACATAATCACACAATTACTGGTTCAAATACTGGTTACTATTTGGAGAACAAAAACATCACATATTCTCTATGAAGTACTTTCTCTGGTAAATTCTTACACCAGAGGAAAAAAAAGTGAGAAAACTTAATTGTATCACTAACTGCATTGGTGAGGCAGAGGTGGATTTGGCTTGGATGCTGACAACCACTACTCTGCTCTAAGATGGATGAAAAAGACTGCTAATGAATTTATAAAGGTGAGACAAGTTTACAGCTACAGCTTATATCCACTTCTTTTCTTGGAGAACTAACCAACTAGGTAGGATTTTAGAACTGTCACACCCTTTACTGGGTTATGGTTGAACAAAATGGGTTTATTGAAGAAAGGTGGCTTAACTTCCCTCTAAATCCTGGGCCATTTTGTATTAAAAACTAACCCTCTCCTCATCCATTACTAACCGGGCTACGGCATTCACAGAGTGTATCTATTCTGCTATTGATTTCTGCTATTTATCTTGTTTCATAAACAAAAACATTGATATCCCTTCACCAAATCAACTAGCTAGTAGTGACACAGCTGAAGAGCTCCATTTAGGCTGATAGGGCAGCACTTCCAATATTAAAAGAGAAGGAAAAGAGGACCAATTTTCAGTGTGACAAACCCAATGGATCTGTGCTGGTTACTTGGTGACAGGAAATCATGTTGCCTGGTAACACTTCTTGCTGTTTTCTCTCTCCCTCCTACCCTTTCTTTTCCCAGACTATTGATGTAGATGTGATTGCCCTAGTGAATGACACAGTGGGAACAATGATGTCATGTGCCTACCTAGACCATAATTGTGAAGTTGGTCTTATTGTTGGTAAGTTTCGGAAATAGCATCATTTAGTGATGATTTCAAAATTTATATTCTTTCAGTAAACTAGGCAAATAGCACGAGAGATCAGTAGGATGAGTCTTTATAGATAGTAAAAAGTAAGGTAAAGGAGTCTCTGGATTTTACTCCACTAGTCGTTGCCGACTATAGGGGGTGATGCTCATCTTCGTTTCAAGGCCATTGAGCCAGTGCTGTCTGAAGACATTTCTGCAGTCATGTGGCCAGCATGACATCACAGAGCGTTCTTACTTTCCCACCAAAGTGGTACCTATTTATCTACTCGCATTTGCACGCTTTCGAATTGCTAGGTTGACAGAAGCCGGGATGAGGACAGGAGCTCATCCTGTCATGTGGCCCTTGAGTCTTGAACCCGGACTGCCGGCTTTCCAGCTGACAAGCCTAGCATCTTAACCGCTGAGCCACTGAGCTGCCCCTCTTTATAAATAGTAAGACTGTGTAAATGAGTCCATCTTTTAAGTTCCGGAGGATATCTTTCTAAGTTCCTAAGATTCTTCCTTCCTGTATCTGCGGCTTTTGGCATTGTTGGCTACATGTCCTGTTGTTCCAGGTCACTAATCCTTAATATATAAGATTATATTCCTAATGCATTTAAAATGCAAAAATAATTGGGCAGACTTTAAAAAAAAATCCTTGGCTCACAGTATTTTCTTGGTTAGAATGGAGGAAAGTAAGCTAGTCAATTCTGAGCAATGATTCATTTTCTCTTATTTTATCTCAAGGAACTGGATGCAATGCTTGCTATATGGAAGAAATGAGGAATGTGGGCTCAATGGAGAGTAATGATGGCAGAATGTGCATCAATATGGAATGGGGGGCATTTGGAGATGATGGCTGTCTTGACCACTACATAACACCTTATGATGACATAGTGGATAAAGAATCTCTCAATCCTAACCAACAAAGGTGAGTCTGTGTAGCTTTTATTGGGGATTGACTGGTGGGGTCTGTGGTGATGGCTGCCTGAAAGCTCATCTCCTAGTATGATACTGATTTCCATTTCCCACAGATTTGAGAAGATGATTAGTGGCATGTATTTGGGTGAGATAGTGCGTTATGTTCTGTTGGAGTTAGCATCTCGCAAGATCCTTTTTAGGGATCATAAGTTAAAAGGACTTCAGAACAAAGGCATCTTTCCTACTAAATTGTTATCTGACATTGAGAAGTAAGTATTTATCTATTCTATTGTCTATAATTATTCTCCTTGCTACCAGGAATCTTGACAGATGTAGAATTTAAGTTCCAATGCAAATCAAATTCCTAAAGTTGTCAGCTTTAAGTTTTACTATTCTATGTATTCATCTTTCCATCTGGAGTGAACTTACTTTGCCTTCTCTTGTCTACCTTGAACTTTCCTTTTAATCAAGTCTACATCTGCCCTAGAGTCTAAATTCTGTAAAAAGTCAATCAAAGCAAGATTTAGAAAATAGGCAAGTTGGTATATGACTATAGAGTGATCGTGGATGCATTGTACATTGTTTATTTGGAACTGTGCATGCTTCTGTTTAGAATGTGCCAAATACTGTATTACTGATCACAGTTGATCATACAATTTCTTCAGAATGAATATGCCTAAAAAGAGGCCCCGTTGAGATTGCCAGAATCCCCATATTTCCATTTATTGTAAGGCCAATAAAGAACAAATTTCTATCTCTACTTCTAATATTACTAAGTGACAGCGAAAGCCGCCAACATGTTTATCACATCCTGGAAGAGCTGGGGCTGCCTGTTTCTCCTGAGGACGCCAAAGTGGTGAAGGAAGTGTGTCATACCGTGACTTCACGAGCTGCTATGATGTGTGCAGCTGGAGTGGCAGCTGTAGTAGAAAAGATTCGAGAAAATAAGCGCATGACAAAGCTGGAGGTGACAGTTGGCGTGGATGGGACAGTGTATAAGATGAACCCTTAGTGAGTTGATTTTTCTGCATCACGTGGGGGGGGGAATTATAAATACAATCTTTGGGATATTTGGAGTTTGCAATGTCAGTTTTATTTTGTGAAAAAGAAAAAAAAAGAGTAAACAAGAGCCGACATTTCCAGGCAGGGTGTTTACTCAGGGGCTATGGGGTTTGGTATGGGGTTTGCTTGATTCTGGGCTGAAGGTGGGTTCCTTTTCCCATGATAGTATTTCTTTCTATCTACAGCTTTGCAAAAAAACTTCAGGATACAGTAGCTCTGCTGGCTCCAAACTGCAATGTCAAATTCTTATTGTCAGAGGATGGCTCAGGAAAGGGAGCTGCGCTGATTGCTGCTGTGGCCTGCCGTACAAAGATCTCTTAATAAGCAGGAGGCTGGATTGTTCTCCACTTGAGAAAGGCCTTGATCTGCAGCATGGACTTTATTCTTCTTTAAGGCAGCTGTGACAAAAGTGCAGAAAGCCAGATTTGGATAGCTGTGGTACTCCATCTTTGCAGTTTTGTTTAACATTCCTGATTCATGCTCAAAGCAAGGAGAGAAATAAACCAAACTCCACTGCCTCTTGAATTCTCAGTCTATCATTTTTTTCCAAAGAGCTTCATCCAGTTAGCTATGGGAGAGGAGGCTAATCTGAAAGTAATTTCATAACCTCATCATTTCCATATCCTTAAGGTGCTTAGGAGAGCAACTGAATACTTCAAGCTACAAACTCTGGCTGGCTGTTTTAGAATTCATGCTTCTATCGATGAAGTATGAGCATAGATACAAGAAGCCTCATGTAGCAATATATATATATATAATTTATTTACATTCATGCCCGCCAAAACCCTGTGCGAGACGCTGATATGTACATAAGGCCAAGTGTAAATACTTGAATGCACTTGAATACAGAATAAAAAACGATCTTTACACAATACGGCATAGACCTGCCTGGTCCAGCACACGTTCACTGCACAGATCAGACTTCCACGCACACGCACAAATCCCTTGCATATACACTGGGCAAGGACTAAGGAGGCACAGATACAGTCACCAGGAGAGCAAGGCCCTCATCCTTTGGTTGACCTTCTGTTTCTTCCTTGTCCCATGGGTCTCCAGGTGTCTGCAAGCCACCAACTCTTCGGCTGCCTTCTCTGACTAAGTGTCAGATACCTCTTGGGCTGGAGCAAACATTTACAAAAATGGCTCTGGAACTATCCTGAGCTACCCTCTTTTTTTTCAACTTTATTATGGCAAAGGGCTTCCTGGGGGATGCAGTGGACCGGACACAGATGACTCCGCTTCACAGCAAAGCTTACCTTTTATCCTGGTCACTCACAATGACTTCTGTGCTAACCATTTCCTTTCCTTTTGCTTTCCACGCTAGAGTAGAAGAAAGCTCTAGAATAATTATCCAAGCCCGATGTCAGCATATCAGACTTGCTTGCCAGCCTACTTGGTAGAAAAATAGACCTGCCCCAACCAGTTCCAGAACTGCTTTGGTAGCAGCAGAGTAGGGATTTGGTAGCCTTTTCCATGGCTTCTGGAGACTCAGCCCAGTGTGTTTGCCTTCTGGCTGAATTTGGCACAAGGATCAGATAGGGCACACAGGCATATTCAAAGCAGGACAAGTACAGATGCTGTGACCCTTGAAATGGAGGTGCCCCGTATCATCTCCAGGCTGAGGCCTGCTTTGTCCCTGCCTAGGGCTTTAGCACTCAGCTTCTGAAACCATGAAAAGGGAGCTGTCCTGCTTGCCCACTTCAGCCACAGCAGCAGCCAGCTGGTTGAGGTTTCCATTGGGGAAGTGACGTGCCTCCCATAAGTTCAAGATCATGGCTGTTGGGCTTGGTTTTGAAGCAAAGTAGCTGAGATGGCTGTGGAAAGAGGGAAAGAATACAAATAAAAACCGCCAGCATATCTGTGATTGCAAACCTCCCCAGCTCTCTATCAGAACTGCAAGGCCCACATTACCACCCGGATTACATATTTCTGTACCAGCAAGTTCCATCTTCTATACTAGTACACTTTTATAGAAAGAATCCTTATACCTGTCAAGGTGCAGCTTTTGGGCTAATGCTCTCCAGTCAGCCCCACGGGCCACCGGGGCATCCAGACTACTTATGATTTTCTGGCGGATAAGAAAAGGAATCTTGAAGGCACTGGGGCCCACCAGGGCAGGAGAGCCAGCCTCATTGTCTGGGGGTAGCCAGTCCGAAAACCGTGCATCCTGAGAAAAAGAGACAGTTATTAGGTCCTACATTTACTCTCTTTGTGGTGAGAATTCTGGGTGGAGAAAAAGAGCTAAAAGTATATACTAATAAGGCTATTTATTTGGTCAGATGCAGGTTTTAAAGAGAATGAAGGTGCCTAACTATAATGTTGTTTCTTTCCAAATATCTTCTAATTTGGCAACTCAATTTGCTTTCTCAAACAAAAAATGGAGTCTAATTATTCGACCACTCTTGTAGCCATTGAAATTTCACCTAGCACTAGTCATTAGTCACACGCTTTCAAACATTTCTCCATATACTCTAGGTTATTAGAAACCTCTTTATATGAAAGATATAAGTCCCCCAGCTTTATAGGCAAGAGTTTATGAAGCTAGGAAGGAGCAAAAAAGCTATATGGCTCTTCCTTGCATTTCTACTTGTTTGTTGGCTATTAGTGCTGATCTGACCAAATCCATTATTGTATCTGGCACGGGACTTACTGGTGGTTAATTGACAACACAGGATATTAAGACAAAAATCAGAATATGGCTAAAATTCTGCATTATAAATCAACACTAAATTGATGTTCCTCGTTTCTGACAATACAACAGTAGTTATGGGTTTGGGGCTTCTCTTATCCAGGAACTGAAAATTTGCAATAGTGGTGAATATCTGTAAGTTGGGGATAGGATGAGGGTGAAGGTTCATTCTCCGAGCTTATGGGTTGGTTTCTGAACGTTTCATTACCAGACTAAGTAACATCTTCAGGGAGTTTAGGGGATGTCAGTGTCGGTGTTCTGTTTATAAAGGTTTCGTGTAGTCAGTAGGTCTTGTGATGGGCAGGTGTGGGTATGTCAAATAAGGGTCAGGTGATGGATGGGTCAGGGGTGAGTCATCCATGTGAGTCTTGTGGTGGGTCTTGTGATGGGGAAGTTACATCAGGTGAGGGTCATTGGGAGGTGAAGTGCTGATTGGAGGGGGTTGCATGGGTTGGTTGAGGGTCGGTGCTGTCTCTGGTTGGCTGTGTGATTGACCCATCACAAGACCCTCACTTGACACACCCACCTCTGACCCATCACAAGACCCATCACAAGACCCTCACTTGACACACCCACACCTGAGCCATCATAAGACCTACTGACCACACGAAGCCCTTCTAAACAGAAGATGTTACCTAGCCTGGTAATGAAACACTCAGAAATCAACCCACAAGAGAATGAACCTTCACCCTCAACTGAAAATTTTCCATCTTTGGTTTTAGATGGGATAGCACTTTCCCACTCAGACCCAAGTGTGCAATTTGGAGTCCTGTTAAACTCATAGCTCCTGCTTAAAGAGAAAGTGGCAGCCAAGGTCAGGTCCTTTGAGCATCTAATGTATTAACTGCACCTGTTCCAAAATCAAAAGATATTGCATGTGGTCAGTCATGCCTTAATCACCTCTTGGCTGAACCCCACATGGGGCTGCCCTTGAAGACCATGTGGGAGCCGCTGCTAGTTCCCAGTAGGCTTCTAGATGCAATTCAAGATGCTGGCTATCGCCTACAAAGCCCTATATGGTGCAGGGTAGCCTGCTTCTGGATATTTCATTTCACTCCCTATGTTCCAACAAAGTGGGCATGACAAATGAGGAGAAAAGGGACATAATATAGTTGAGAATGCAAGCCAGTCACCCTGGCTCATGAACTGTAACTTAGGAAGTCAGGAATATTTGCCAGAAAGAGATCTGTAATTTGTTACTTTCTGAGCACACAGATGACTGCAGCCAACTTACAACCCTGGCACCAGCTTTTACAATAAAAAAAATAGCAGGTGGAAGGATTTTATACAAGACAAAATACTGTGGCACAAATCTGCTCTGATGTCTACTGTTAAGTATGTTCAGTAGGACCTCTATGAGATCATAGCCAATATTCTAGCTACAAAACCACATAAGGAACGTGAAAGCTATTCGAACTTATTGAAAGCTATTGAAAATAATAATAATAATAATAATAATAATAATAATAATAATAATAATAATAAGTAGTAGTAGTAGTAGTAGTAGTAGTAGTAGTAGTAGTAGTTGGAAGGGACCTTGACGGCTATCTAGTCCAACCCCCTGCTCAGGCAGTAAACCCTGCTATTTCAGACAAATGGCTGCCCAGTTTCTTCTTAAAAACTTCCAGTGTTGGAGCATTCACCGCTTCTGGAGGCAGGTTGTTCCACTGGTTAATTGTTCTAACTGTCAGGAAGTTTCTCCTTAGTTCTAGGTTGCTTCTCTCTTTGATTAGTTGAAGAAGCTGAAAAAGCTTCTTGGATGAGAAACAAAACATCTTCGAAGAGAAAAAAGTCCAATTGCCTCATGAAAAAGCACCTTTGGGACATTCAAAAGGTAGGTAATAGGTACTTGGTAAAATACCTGCTGAGCTCCACTGTGTGGTTAACAGGGCTCATCCAGTCTAATCCCTCCTCTGCCAGCATAGGAGACCCAGCCAAGAAGTTAACAGAAGTTCTCACAGTCTCTTGCCCTTACCCTGGCAATGTTGAAGTCAATATTGAAGCTCTGCCCGTCACCCTCCACCTGCCAGATCCAAATTTTGCATGCCAATTGGCATGTGTTGGTGCTGAGTCGCTCCAGTGTGAAGGTACAGTGTAGGTAGGGCTGCAGCCCACTCCAAAGATGGTAGAAGGGAATTTCCTGCAAGGGAAAAGGCCAGATGCAAATTACAAGATGTTTGCCTAACTCTAAAGGATTTTGAAAAGGCTTCTTGGCTGAAGTTACAAGCAAGTGCCAACAGCTTCAGACGAAACCAAGTACAGGTTGGTACCAAGTAGCAGATGCATAACTGCTGTCAGTTCCCAAATTGACTAATAACTGGATTTTTCAGCAACCTGGATTCAAAGGGGAAAGGTGATTTGGAACATACAGTATGTATGCATTCACGTTGCATTTCTAAACAATTGTTTGGAGAAGCTGTATCGAATCCAGGAAACTACAGGGCTGACTTAAGGAGGCAGTAACAAGTATGATGTGTGTTGCCCATATATTCCAAATTGCTTTTTAAACCACTGAAAAAGAGAACAATCAGATTTTCTTGGCTTGAGAAGAGAACAATCAGATTTTCTTGGCTTGGTATTCCTGTGCTATACATAGGTTGGTAGTTACAACTCTGTTCACATTTTGTAAAGAATATGGACATCAAAGGGCAAGAGTAACTCTAGCAGTTTGAGACGAAGAATCCGTATTGTCTTGCCTTGGATAAAAATAACCCCAGGAGCAGTAGAAACCTTGCCTGGTAGCTGACTAGAAGCTTGCTCTTCCACAGTGAGCTGGGCACATCATGGATGGAGAGACGCAGATTGTGATAACTGTCCTTGAAGTGCAAGATTCGCGGTGCACCGATCAGCTGTCCACCCATTTGCTTCTCTATTTGCACTACTTCCTGTAATGGTATGAACACACGGGACATGCTTAAGTGAGGGGGATTAAAGAAGCAAATACGGTCCTAGGGTTATTAAGCTACAGTTCAGGTCACAAGAATATAAAAATAGTGGTGGTAGTGGTGGTGGTAGTGAAAAAAGTGTGTACACATGTGGGTTTGTGCGTGTGTGATGGCATTCCATGCATGTCTAAATGAGCAGGAATTAAACTAGTTGTAGATATTATGTGTGACTCTCAAAGCTGAAAGTTTTGCCCGCTTGACTGAAGAGATGCTAAACCTGACTCTTCAAAGATGTATCATGACCCTAGAATCTTTGCATTTTGGAGTTTATTATGCATAAAATTTATAGACTGGCCAATGACTCAAGTGACTTACAATTAAAAAAACACCCACAAAACACTAAGAGAGTCAAATTAGTCCCAGAAACATTATATAACCCAAGAAAAACCTTTGTTCTGCCTTTGGGCCTCGGTTAAATAGCCAAGTTGTTTTCTAGATTTCTTAAAAAGTACATTCTTAATGGGACAGTAAGTGGAAACTACTAAATACGGGGAACAACTTTATTAATACAATCAATTTTCATTAAATATAAATTTAAAACAAATTACATGCTTTCCTAACCCTATCTCCTTTCTGGAGTCTGCTCTCTCTTCATTGGATATTGACGTGGTGGCTAGCCATCCATCCATTAGGGATGTTTTAATCTGGATTCTTGCACTGATCATAGGGTTGGACTGGATGAGCTAGAAGGTCACTTCCAGCTCTGTTATGTTGTGGAGTTCAGTAGCTTGAATCTAAACCATGGGGATTCTGCATTGTGGAAACAAAATTCCTGAATTGAAAATATTAGCATACTAGAAGAAGATATTAGGGTTATTATGGGAAGGCTGAACAGTTGCATAGGGAGAAATTAGGCTTCCTGTGAGAAAAGTGTGGATAATGAACAATTCCCCTTTGTAAGAGGCTTCACTACATATTCTGCCTCTACCATCAAGGTCAGCCAGTTGCCTGGATTAGCCAGTCTTCTCACTGAAAAAAGCTTTGGTGTGTGTGCTACATGTACACCAAAACAACCACTACTAAGGGAAGCAAAAGGCACAGTCATTCAACTACTTAAAAAGTGTGGCACCATCATGCTTTGCTGCATTGTTGCAAAGGGGCTCTCTGCCCACTGATGAAATGGAGTACTCCACTGAAGATCTGCAGAGCCTTAATCCTGCAGTTAAGCTAGGGATTGTCTTATTAAAGTTGTGCTCTGGCTACGTGATCAAAAGTAGTGAAACTCCTCAAGTACAAATAAACAAAGAATGAGTCCTTGAAAATAGTAAAAAAAATTGTACTCCAACTTGTGTGAGGTTTATGGAAGAAGGCTTCAAGAGACTACACATGGAAGGGTTTCCTGATGGAGTACCTTAAGTGCATCACGGGTGTCACTGAGGCAATATACACGGACATCATATTCCAGCCCAGTACAAGTTGTCGGTGCAAAGAGAACCAGTTTCAGGCGCTTTGAAGCAGCCATGCTGAGTGATTCTCCCACCAACGCAAAGCGGCCCAATTGCTCAGTGAAGATGTAGCAAGCTTGGGGTTCCAACTGGCAATGGAACAGTTCAGAAGATCCTGGGTCTCCCAACTGCAGTACGTCCTAAGAAGGTGGAAAAGGAAGAAAATCGCCACATCAGAAAAAGAGAAATGGCAAAAGAGCGGAACATTCACATGGATATCAGAGAGAAGGAGAGAGATTAGGGCAAATTCAGAAACAGTAGAAGAGGGTGCCTAATGAACATGTGACAAAGAATGGCAGGTTGACATAAGACCTGGGACAGGTGGGGGTCACAACAGTGCTTCACTGGTCTATCTAGTAAGAACTGCAATTTAAACCTGAGTGGAACAGGTTTTTTTAGCAGCATCCACACTGTTTGCATTACATTCAGTTGCTCTAAGGACCCAGGTTGCATTCAAACCCTCACTGCAGGACATATACTAGAACTGCCTCCTCTCAGAAGCCTGTGAGATTCTCTCTTGGGATCACACAACCCATTAGATTCAATCGGAAGTGCAACAGGGCTAGGTATACTCTGCAAAGAAGCAATGCCAAACAGTGGAGCACATGAGGCAAAATTTAGGTTTCGTTTTTTAAAAACAAAAAACAAAACAAGGCAAAGACCTAGCTTTAGGAATGCAAAAAATAGTCTTAAAATGATATCCAAGGAAACCAGATAAATGATTGATTCATGGTATTTTGGGGGGAGGGAGGGGGATGTCAGTGCTATTCTTGGTTGTTTACTGAATTTATTTGGATTAGTTCTGAGTATCTCATCACTGGTGTTATCTGGGAGAAGAATAATCATACATGCGATGCAAAATGAGAAATCAATGCATAAATAATAACATAGCACTGAAGACAAATCCACTAAGACAAAAATACAAAAAACCCTTTTGTAGCAAAACAAGCCAATTATATAAAAACAGTGATTAAATAATTAATATCCATTTGAGGATATTTTGACATTAAATTAAGAAACTTAGAAGAAAAAAAGGACTTCACCTGGTGCGAAAATATATTAATACAGAAACCAAGCAGCTTTTCCAGGGAGAATTCTGAGCGGCCATTATCAAGAAGGCCCTTACTGTTGGGGCTGCGTTGCAGAGTAAGGGGACCCTTGGATCTTAACATTAGATGATCTTAGGCCCCAGGTGCTAGGAACTAAGTAGAAACAATATATGTTTTGCAAAACAAAACGAGACGGGCTGCTTGATTTCAACATATTTTATAGGTTGCTAAATGTAGTGTATTTGTCATGACATTCATCTGTTTTGCATAAAATAGTCCTAGTGTTGCAACAACCCGTGAGTTGCTCAACATGCACTCCAGGCTAGGCCTCACCTCCCATGTGCCCTCACAGGACTGCTTCTTGAGGCGCAGGTTCCAGGTCTCAGGGTTTGGCTCCACACAGTGATCTATGGCTAGGATAACAGGTCTGGTGAGCAGCACCCCCGGAGGGCCACAACTAACAATGGGGCTCAGTAAAGTCTGGCAGCCTGCCAGCGGAAGCCTTGGCAAGAGAGAGAAGCATCAGTAATACAGAGAAGGGGCTTAAGAACTCCCCCACTTCCATGCTCCAGTCAGCACCATCAGCTACTTTCTCTTGACCATAATCCCAGTTGAAACAGAAAAGAAACAGGATCTGCCACCCCATTAATTCAGGAGGGGACATACAGCAGGAAGAAATAGAATGGGGTTAATATCAGCAAGTATTATGACAATAATATACCCAGAGATTGATTCTTTGGTTTTAGAGATTAGGAGTTATCAAGAAGTGCATCAAAGATAAGCATGAATACAATAATCCTGGCAACAGCAGAACTGTCCCGGTTATGGCAAGGGATTATCACTGGGGAATTTCTGCCAAGAAGAAACCCCACAAGAGTTTTGGCAATAGAGCAACAAATGGCACTGTTGAGCATCTTTTTTCTAGCAGAAACATGAAAGAAAAAAAGGGACATGACTAGTAGTTAAGCTCTGGTAGCCAGTTATTCAACTTTGGGCAGCCTGCAGGATGCTTTCTGCTGGCAGCTCCACAAGTTTTTTTTAACAAGGGCGATTATCCTGAATGCTTGAGGGCAGGCCCAATTTAGACATCCCCATCAAATCTATTGTCTCTGCCCTTAGACAGCACCAAGGGGATTCTGGGAAGTAAACATGCTCACATGGCAGCTGGCTACCTATGCTTGACGCAGCCCTGAGCAATGGGAACAAGGAAGAATGAGTTGCAAAGAGCCAGGAGATAAACATTAAAGAGAAGAATATTTTTAAACTATCATGGACACCGCAACATAAATACCTCTACAAATGGCTCAGGGATCCTAATAAAGGTTGTATCATCTTTATCATATTATCTTCCCCTATGAGCTTGATGGGGGGAAACGTTTCCACTCCTTTCAATGAAAACTATTTTCATGCTATCTTCAAGACTTCGTCTGGCCCTATGAACTCGTAACTGAATTTGCTGTTTATTTTACATCAGTGTTTATTTCAGGCCATATAACGGTATGCTTGAGAACACCAACAATACAAAGGGTTGAGATTACCATTAAAGGAGACAGTGTTGTCTATATATACCGCAGTACCCACTACATCAGCTGACAAATCCTGTCCATCTGCAGGGCTACAGATTAGCAAGACTCTGGCATATATCAGTTGGCACACAGGTACCCACAATGGCCTTTGAATGTCATAGGGGTGTATACCTTGTTTCAAATTAGAGGACACAAAGTGCATAGGCTTGTCAGGGTTCCCAATGAAGTTTTATGAAAATGGAGACATAGGAGCACATTGTGGGTATGATAAATTACAGGTAAGTATAGCTAAGTTAGCATCCCAGGATTCCTAGGTTTTTCCAGGAAATGAGATATGTACCTCACGTCCTCCTGCTTGTGCAGAGTTAGGTAGATTTCATAGATTTTCCCCCGTGGGATGGCATCGGGTGGGATGAGCAAGCTGACACCTAAAAGACAAGAGACGAGATGGCTCAAGGGGTATAGCCCACTGCTTGCAGGCAAGCTGCCTTCCAATTTCACAGGCAAGCTGATACTGAAGAATGAGTTTTGGTCAAAGGCTGCTTAGCTAAAAGAGGCAGAGAAGAGGAAATGAGCAAACCCCTCTTTATAAGAAATCCCAGGGGGAAGCAATGTATCTTTGTCTGTTGAGTTTATCTATGGAAGTATTTCTTTTCCCATGTAGGAATCCAGCCTAGAAAGAAAAACTCTTTCCCTTGGATGCATGTGCTTAAGTAATGATCCAGAAGAGAATCAGAGCATCAGAAAGCTTTGTTGCTCCACTGTAGCCACCCTCCGTATTGTCAGCCCTATTATTTTCCCTACTTGTCAACCTCACCTGTGTTGGGTATCATTAAACGTCCACCCAAGAAGTTGAATGTTCCATACGCCATGTTGGCAGCACCCCTGGGTAAAGAGCGGAAGAAATTCTGGGTAGAGAATCGTGAGACAAAGTCTACTGGATCAGCACTGGGAGAGCTGTGGTGAAGAGTGTGGCGTCCACTGCCCAGGGGGCTAAGCAGGTGCCCATTGCCAATCTGGAACTTGCCAGGCCCATCCTGGCGTGGACACAGTGAGCCTTGGTAGGTCATGGTAGTGGTGCTCAGATCAGGCTGGATTGTCAATAGGTGGGAATTATCTGTGTGAGAGAAAAATGGAGATGATAATGGGATCAGTTGGGGTGATAAAGACACACATCTTGTTTCAAAACATTAAAAAAATCTTCCTTGGCAGCAAGGAAAACTTAGCTCATTCTTAATATTGCAGAAAGCTAGATTACTTTATAGATGCAAATGCAGATATTTTGAGTCACCTCAGGTATGTAGCAGCCTAATCACAAAACATTATCTCATCACACAGTATTGCATAAAATACATTAACCAGCAGGGGTAACAGACTGTTGCAATGACCCGAGAAACAAAGATCTCTGTTCAGACCATCATTTTCTGCATTAATAAGGTTATGCATTTTATTTCCCAAAGACAGCTTTTTAAAGATGCAATGTAATCTCCTTTTTTTAGACTCAGAGTTTTGGGTTAATAGAGCTTACAGAAACCATCTGTGCAGTCCAAATGTAGATCAACAGAGTACACGTGTCATTTTAATATCTTGTCACTTATCAGACTGTAAAAAGGAATGTTTCTAAGAGCATGAGTCTCACAGTATGGGATGATGTTGTAATAAAGGGATGCTTTCTTGACCCGCAACTAAACTGTCTGTATGTGTGAATGTATGTGCATTCTATGGCTTGGTTCCAAAAGGTCAAATATTTGTCTTGATGGATATGTGTGTGTGGCATTTTGTATAGAGGACTCTTTGAATAAATCTCAAGAGCAAAACAGTATCACAAATAAACATTTGATTATATTCATTAGATTCCTTCCCTATGGTTTAGTCTGGCATTCACAAAGGAGGGTATTTGACTAATCAGCATAACTGGGATATACCAGAAAGAGTCTTACACATATCATTTCTGCAAGTACTTCACACCAGAAGTAAATGTTTCTTACCTAATGGAAAATTTGCTTTCCTAAACTTGTTCTGAAAGACTGGAGTATCACCTAGCGTGAGGTTTGGGTGGTGAGCAACCAGAAATATGTTCTTGTAGTTTTGCACAGTTGCCCTCTTTAGAGAAACTCTTAGAGACAACAGGAAACAACCACATCTGTCTTCCCCAGACTAGCACCCCTTAGCAGCAAGATAATGGCATCTGCAAAAGCTACACCTAAGACTTTGGAAGACTGTAGACAAGGCATGGCTGCCCGTCCATGATAAAGGCTCCTGACAGGTCAATTTCTGAAGTCTTGGTAGTGTCTCTCCTTGGTAGTTCTGGCTTCCAGCTGGCAAGAATTAGGATAACAAACATTCAAGAGTAGAATAAAATGGGGTTTTTTTCACCTGAAAGCCGCACTTCCATCTGGGTTGTATAAGGAACCATGCCAAAAAAGTTGGAAAATTTGGTGGGGAAAAAAAAAAGTTTAAATGGGTAGGCCAAATCAAACTCATCCCCTTTCCCTTTCTCCTTTCCCTCTCAGATGTTAGGAATGCAGTTTGGATTTATTAAAAACTATTTGCATCATGAATGTTCATAAGCCGCCTAAAGTCACTTCGGTGAGATTGGTGGCGTGCAGGTTTAGTAAACAAATAAATGAAAAGGTTTCAAAGCTGAGAACCTGCATCCCAGCCTTGAAGCTCCTTAAACCATGCTGTTTTAGGCTTAGCTTTTGTTTTAGTTGATTGCAATAGGATACACATGAAGGATGCGGTGCACCATGCTGAAATTTAACTTATGTAAAGCTTTTCACTTAAGCTATTGGAAGACTTTTTTCAAATCTAATTGCTATAGTTAGGATGAAGAGAAAGGTCAGGTGAGCAAAGTCCACTTGTAGGCCAGCAATCCTTTACCTTCTACAATTTATATCTCATCCGCAAAGCAGCTGTTGCTGTATTTATCCTGCATGTTTCTCCACTGCTCATGTTCCTCTTCTACTGATAGAATAAAAGTTTAAAATTTTCAGAGGCATGTTCAGAGGCATTGTTGTTACATCCTTCCTTACTCCTACAGAAAGATGAATGAAAGAAAAACCACCTCTCTAATAAAACCTGGCAAATTTACAGAAGATTTGAATGTGGTTCCAAAATGACTGCTTGCCCAAGTGGTACCACTTATCCACATACCTGAGCCCCAAAGGATTAGTATCTACCATATAACACTTAAAGAATGTGCCAAGAGCAGAGAGATACTCACCTGCTTTGGTGGGCTTGATGCCAACTGGCTGGAAGCCAGCAGTGAGAATAGAAGAGTCAGCTACATCTGAATCCAACCCTTCCTTCTTCCGGCAGTAGACAAGGGTTACCACTAGAAGCAGCAATACCAAGCAGACGGCTACAGCAATCAAGCCAACATACAGGGCCACATCCTCAGAGCCACCAGTTTCTAGAAAGGAGAAGGGATGCACACTGAATCCAATGCCAAGCTCCAGTATGCAGTAGGAAATAACCTTGTTTGCTCTACAAGCATGAACCTAAGACTCACTGACATAATGTGCAAGATCTGTTATCCATGTAGTCTGTGAGGGAATGGAATTTTTAGGGAAGAGATCTGGATTGGGATGCATTGCTTCTCATTGGGCTGATCATAAATGGCCCATCAAGGATTTTGCGCCCGTACTCTGTTTTTCAGAAGAAATTTCTGGTTGACCACTTCCTTGCAGCCATAGGTCTATTCTCATACAGAGAGCATTTTGGAGAGAAAAAGGTAAAAGAATAAGAGAACTCCAGGACCCAGAAACTTAATTTCAGTTTTCAGCTTAGAAACGTAGGACAAAATTTTCAGGAAAGCTCTTAGAGAAATTCAGATGGAAGCTGCAAAACCAGCAGTACGTTTTAGGAGTGTCTGTAATGGTCAGCTTTCATAGTAGCTAAAATAATGCTACCAACACAGAAGGTGGGAGAAGAGATTCCCCTAAGAAATGTATTATCAACATATTTAACACATAACCCTATTTAATTATGTAGCCTTCCCTAACATGATTCTTTTCAGATGTGCTGCATTTCAAACTTAGCTTGTTTGGGGAAATGTTGACAGTGAAACCTACCATATCTGAAGGGCACTAGTGGCTGATTTACAATAGTAACCAATGTTAGCCAGGAATCTGTGTCTCTCTCAAACAGAATGCTGGACTGGGATGTGAAGGAGGGAAGGCTCCTGCTTCCCTGCTCTCCCCACACTGCTCCTTCTGAAAAGCTTTAGCGGTATTTTTTAAAATAATGTATATGTAGGTTCTTATTCTCATAGAAACAGATTATATATTAAGGAAAGAACAGAACCACTACACACCAATACCTTCTACCAGCCTCCTTAGGTTGTGTAGGATATCAATATGGGTTACTGAAAGTTCCAATGGGACTAGGAGGGATGCATAACCTCCATTTAGATCCTGCTAAAAATCTGACAGCTTTTCAAGGTAGTCTAGACCAGGGGTCCCCAAGCCCTGGTCCGTGGACCGGTACCGGGTCGCGGCATGCCAGCAACCGGTCCACATAAACAAGCAAAGCCCCATCCATGGGATGCAGGCAGCACACAAAACCACGTACCCTCCGGTCCGTGGAAAAACCTTTCTCCACGGAACCAGTCCCTGGTGCCCAAAAGGTTGGGGACCTCTGGTCTAGACAGGAAACCAAAATCATGAGTATAATACTACCTTTATTGTAAGGTTACAATAAGAGAATCTTGCAAGTCTGAAAACACTTCCCCCCTCCCTGCCTTAACTTTCCATAGAACTAGAGAAGATCCCTTCAAAGATGCTTTTTCCCATCCCATTTGGGACTCAAGACTTAATTTATCAGATCACTGTCTAGTCTGTGACTCCTCGTTTAGTTTCTCAAAGTTACTCTTACAGATCATTACAAGATCATCCACATAAGCAATTAATGCCATCTCCATTCCTGCCCAGAGTTGAAACCTGACTGAAAAGGGTACAGGTAACCATTTCCTCTAAAATGCTCTGTACTTGTACACAGAAGTTAAAAACAGGAAGATAGTTGTCGAGTACAGATAGATCCAGAGAGAACCGCTTAAAGAGAGGGCACACCACGGCCTTTTTCAGGTCCGTTGGCATCATCCTCACCCAAAAGGAAGCACATTTTGGAGCCAACATGACATGCTCTCCCATATGCCATAGGAGGCCACAGATAAGCTGAAGTCACCTGAGACTTAATTAGATATGGTAAGCTATTGTCCCAATCAGTCCATCAGATTTTGCCCATGAAAAGTCAAGACTTCAGCAAATCTGAAAGACTTTATTGAAGAAGTGCTGTGCTATGTAAACTGGTCACAATGGCCAGTACCATACCCTCCAAAAAGAGGTTGTTCATCCTAGATCAAGGGTGTCAAACTCAATTTCATTGAGGGCCGTATCAGCATTATGGTTGCCCGCAAAGGGCCAGTTGCTGTCCCCTTTTTTCCCTCAGCTTGCCCCACAGAAGCCTCTCTTATCCTATCCCCTTCTCTCCCTTAGGCTTGCCCCACCAACATCTCTCCTCTCCTCCCTATCGCCTTCTCTCCCCCCTCTCTCCTCCTCCTTCCTGCCAAAACATCTCCTTTTATACCCTCTCCCCCATGCATTCACTTGCTGCCCGGCTGGCCTTTTCACGCAGCGCTCATCAGCTGGAGCTATGTGCCCCGATTCTGGGGTCCCCACCAAGCCACGGCAGCCCCGCAGCTCCAGCTGACTATTCCCCCAAAGACTGCATGTGGCTGCCGGCCACCCCGAAGGCCACTGGAAGCCCCAATCAGCTGGAGCAGTGCATACCGATCCCGGGGCCTCAGCAGAGCCCCAACAACACATCTCCAGCTGACTCTCTCCAAGGCTTCTCTGACGCTGCTGCCGGTTCACACACACACCCCACCCGCTACATACTCAATCACCTACTACTAGTAGTCTACTTGCAGGCCAGATCTAAACACGTCATGGGCCAGATTTGGCCTGCAGGCCTTGAGTTTGACATGTTTGCCCTAGATGAAGCCATTGATTAATAGCCTATCAATGAAATAAGGCAGGAGAAATTGTAACAATTCACCTCTCTTTTTGCCACAGTAAGGCTGTAACTTGAGCGTCTACCAGTGCTCAGTAAAAATCATTTTTCATCTTCCTCCACTGGGTGCTTCATGTGTACATCTGGCACTTCGTCTCCCAGAGCTCCCTGCTATTCAGGGCCAGCAAACAAAGAAAGCCTGCTCAGAAGCAATCACAACAAGTGCCCAGTTTTCCTCATGATTCTGGAGGCTAACTGCAAACTCAGTGGAACTGCCTGCAAGGTCACAGGGAAAACTCCTGTGTCTGGAACTATTCCAGATCTAAGACACGTTGGGCTAATCAATCTATTCACCCAGCATGGACCCAGATGACGGTGTCTGACATGGCAAAAGGCTCAGAGAGGCAAGCTCTGTATTCAGATCACTACATCACTGCTTCAAGGCAAAAGCAAGATTCAGCATGTGGCTGTTTACACATGTCAAGCTGGAGATCTCCTTGGACAAACACAAGGTCTTCCTGTACACTTAAGCTTCACCTGACACAGACCCAAGAGTCTGGAAATTAAAATCACATAGAAGTTAGAGAGACTCCAACACTAGTCCCATGAGAAGGATGAGCAGCTTAGGCAGGGATTCTATCAGGCAGCAGGGCGACCTTTACATAAGCAAGATCGGTGACTTGTCCCTTTGTCCCAATTTATAAATATTCACACAGGGCCATCTCTAAAGTAGAATCCTTGGTCATAAACAAGATATTTTTAAGGATCAGCACTGGCTTGGAGTCTAGATTGGTGGTACCCCTGAACGGTGAGAAAGTTTATCCATGAGGGTCATAATTCTCACTTCATTGAACCAGGTCTGTTGTGGATGAACAAGGTCTTATTGCAAGTAGACTTGATGTTTACCACCAATCTTAACCACCAATCCTATCCTTGAGGTCCAGCTAGGAGGTCACAGGCTCAAAGTGGGAATGAGCAGCAAGTTCTCAATCTCCCTTCTCCTGTAACCATAAACCTGGCAATTCTCATCGTATTACCAGTGATCCATCACATACCTATTCATCAAAAACTATCTCTGCCAATACCTGAAAGAAAAGATCCAGTCATTTCAGCTGTCATCTTCACAGAATCACATAGTCCTAGGCTGCCACAAAATGCAATTTAATCTGCCTATTAATTAGTAATAATTACGACGCTAAAAATACTATTACTTGAAATCACCAAGTATAGCTAGTCATACTGATTATCAAACATCATCCTGGCAAGCCAATTATCTTCAGCTGTCGGTGGAGACATGCCACACCATATCTTAAGCTGGGGATTATTCCTTATAACAGGCGTCACAGCAGAGAATGCCATTAAGGATAGGCAAGTGAAATTGGGTTTTAGAGACACCACATCCACTTCTATGTAGAGTAATTTCTGAGTAAAAGCAGCAAGTCTTTATTGGGGAGAATGGATTAGTTGCTCCTTGCCCTTCCCCACGCCCCCTTTGTTTGGCCATGAAGATGAACCAAATGTTAACTGCACAAGAAAATATGAGTACAGACTGTCCTCTGAAGCATCCACCAAGAGGCAGACAAACAAAAGACTAGAAAATAGGAACTATTCAGGAGTGGGAGAGCAGGAGGCTATATTGTATAAGAAAGGGCAACATTTTTGTGTTACAAAAACAAGCAGATTTGCAAATATCAGTTTATAGTAGTTTAAGAAACAATGTATGGGAAGGAAGGAAGGAAGGAAGGAAGGAAGGAAGGAAGGAAGGAAGGGAGGGAGGGAGGGATGAATTTATGTGATTGAGATTTTTGCCCTGCTATCCTTCTGAATTCCGCCCCCACCCCTACCACCAGCTAGGTCAAACATTCAGGATGAGCTGCCCCAGGAGGGAAGATGAACACTGCTTTCACTTCAGCTGTGAAAACATTAATTTGATATAAAAGGAAGAGAAAAGCCCTAGGAGACCTAGCAAGCTAGTTAGTTAATGAGCCAGGATGGGATCTGTCACTCACTCTCCCTCTCTCTTGTGCATGCACGGAGCTCTCCTGCCTGCAGTCCCAACTGGCTGTTCTCTGGGGTGACACATCAGGCTTCAGGTAAGGAGCTCATCTTTTGGGAGGCAGCTCTGCACCGTCCTCTTGGGAATGAGGGAAGAGGGAGATATGCTGGTGTGGCAGGGATGGGCACAATTAAGGTGGATTCTTACTTCATTTCCCATGGCCACACGACCGTGCTAAACTAGGCAGGAGAGAATCGGTCTGCACAAGGCGATGCGCTGTTTCTTCCTGCGTGAGTGGGTAGGCGGACTAGAGTTGACAGGCTTGGCTGCCCTGATATCTGAATCTGAATGTCCAGCCACTTAGAACAAACCTCGGTGGGAGGCCCCGGTCACCCTTCTGCCTCCCGGAGGGATTTTTCAAAATACAGAACGCTCCCTGCCTCTATCCAAGAGGGCAGTGTTCTGTTTGAAGGCATCCACTAGTCTGACTGTGAGGTTGTGCTGCCTGTTTTTAGAGAAGAGGAAATTGGGCCTGTTAAATTTCCCATGAACAATCTGATGATCTATTAATTTCCCATTAGTAATAAGCATTTGGAGAGTTGGCATACAAATCATCTGATCACAGTCTTCCCAGGTATGACAAGCTGCATTTTACGAGTTTAAACTGTAATAATTACTAAATATGTAAGCATACATATAAATTAGCATATGCGAGTGTTATATGGTCCTACGTCCCCTCTCTGATTATGCATTTCTTTTTCTTGGCAGTATGCAAACTGCTACCCTGCTCACCACATCCTTTACATCTCTAATGACAGCAGTCTTGTCATTCCCAAAGATGAAGAAAGAGGCAAGAACTCACCATGCGTACACAGTTCACTGGTGCAATTGCGGGTTTCCAGTTCAGGCCCCTGGCACTCATCCCCACCATTACGGGGCACCGGATCAGAGCATTCACGGCTGCGCCAATGTGTACAGTCAGCACCACACACCGACCACAAACTCCAGGCTGACCAACCACCAGGTACTGCCAGTTAGAAGGAAGCAGTATAAATACTTACTAACCAAATTCTAACTCAATTATTTTCTTACCCCCCCCCAGTAAACTCTACATCTTCCCCTTGTTCCACCCTATCCCACCACATCCCAGCAGGCATCACTTTAACAATCCATGAGAATGCTCTCGAGCTATATCTCCTTGGCAGAGAAAGGGCCAGGATTGTAAATCTTGGGGCAGCCACAGAAGCTACCCTACTAGGGGGAGAAAAAATTGTGACATGCCTCAGAAGAATTACGAGATAGGAGAGGACAAACACAGACACATGGATGGGTTAAAGGAGACAGGTAGAGCAAATGGGAGGGAAGGGAAAGAAAAGCAAGGCAAGAGCCAAGTGCTTTTGAGCTGTTGCTTCAAAGAGTTGAACGCAGGCACACACAACATCATTCCATATTCACAATCAAAACAACTGGATTTTGAAATAGGGCAATGGGAGAGAGAAAGTATGGTTGAAATAGCGTAGCATAGGCAGAACTGTGTGAACAGGGAGCACCCCACGTCAGGGGATGGTGGTGAAACAGAGAAGAAGTCTAGAACTGTGAGTGAGTAAGATTAGCAGAAGTGGGTGGATCAGCTCAAATGATTACAGGCTTCACATACGTTGGCTTCTTAAGCATTTCTCCACTGTTCTGGGTGGAGGTCTTTGGGTGAGGTCTTTGGAATCTAAGGAGCACAGCAAACTGAACCATGGGAGCAGGCCCATGGTGTGGCAGGGGCAGTACCTGGGCACAGGGTGGCGCAGGAAGTTTTCTGCACATTCTGGCCCTCACAGAAGGCCCCCCCGTTGAGTGGCGCTGGGTTGGTGCAGGTCCGGCTCCGCTTCTGCCAGCCCCGTCCACAGCTGGTGCTGCAGGCTGACCAGTCCGTCCACGTCGACCAGCCTCCATTCACTGGGGGGAAGGGACAGCATCAGCTAGAGCTTGCAACGACTGCCCTAGGAGAGCTGGTAGGGAGAGTGAGCTGCCACCCCCATGGGGAGCAGAGTGCTTTTCAGGCCTAGAGGGGTAGCCAAGCCTTTTTCATTGTCTTGGGGACAAAATTGCTGGCTCCAGAATTCAGGATTCCTCGGTGTATTTGTGTGTATGAACAGTTTGGGGAGAATACACAGGAAAACATGGGGATATGCAAGGAGGCGTCACAAGCAGAGGGGCCAACACTTAAGAGGAACAGGGAAAGGGTCATATTGCTTTCCTCTGTCGTCTTCTGCAACAGCGTAACTTGCTCCTTAGTCGTATTTACAATTCAACCTTCCTTCACCTTGTCTGAGAAGGTACAATCTACGACCCTCATCAGCAGTAGAATTCCTTCCTTCCAAAGCTCGTCTTCACATCCCCAAACCAATTGGGTACCGTGTAACCCAGGGAGAAGCAAGGTCTCAATATTTTGGGCATCATTATCCCCAACCAACAAATATATATATATATATATATCTGAAAGCGTTCCATCCTATTATCATCCATCTTCCCCCTTCATCTGCAAACTGAACAAAATTTGGAGCAGGGTGGGATTCATGCACAGGAGGGATTATATAAACAACACGTGCCCCTTTTTCTCAGGGTCACCCTCCCTATTCCCTGAAGAGGTCCTACCATAGACAATCACAGCGGCAGGTGAGCTACGACGGCGAGCCACTATGTTCTTGGCCACGCAGGTATAGTTGCCTGTGTCAGCTAAACGAGCTTGTTTCACCACCAAGCTATGTTCCAGTGTAATGTAGTAATTGGGGTCCAGGGTTGGGTCCACAAGTTCTTCGTTGCGCAGCCACTCCACCTTGAGAAAACCCAAGAGTCACATGTGGTTCTGATTTGATTTGGGTCAGAAGCCTTAAAATATGGTGTTCCAAAAGAAAACATTTACAAACATTGACCAAGGGAAGGTCAGAGTCAATGCAAGAAAGCTTAAAAAGAGAGAGAAGCTGCAGTATATCAAGCAGCAGATAGGGCAGTAATGGAGAACCTTTTAGAGACTGAATGCCCAAACTGCAACCCAAAACCCACTTATGCATCGTCGAGTGCCGGGTGGGTGTGGCCCATTGGGTGGGCGTGGCTACGGTGGTAACGGCAGACTGGGTGGGACTAAAAAGTTCAATCAATCAATTCCAACTTTGCAAGACCTTTTTTTTCCCCGCGAGAATTTGAAATTGACTGATTGAACCTTTTTTTTGGTTTTTTTGCACACGGCGGTGGAGGCCTAAAGCAAAAAGGTTTTATAAAACCCAGCTGAAGGCCTAGGACTGGGGCGACGGCGCGGGTGCCCACAGAGAGGGCTCTGAGTGCCGCCTCTGGCACCCGTGCCATAGGTTCGCCACCACTGAGGTAGGGAATATGCAAGTAGGATGAACACCAAGAGCCCAGCCTAGATCACTGGCAGGAGCTGCAGATGCCAAGGGCAAAAGGAAAGATATGGCATCCTGTCTGGTGGTCCCCTCCAGCTGCTTGGGATTTATTGCATCAGCTGGATCTTCAATAATTTCCTCCCATTGGCCAAAAATAAGAATGTATGTGCAGTACTCACTTCAGCAGGTGGAATTCCCTCTGGAGGGCGGCAAGGCAGCACAATTCCCTGCTCAATGGAGACTTCTTTGGCCACTGGCTCCTGCTCAAAATTCTTCCTCAAGTCTAGAAAGAAAAAGAACTCAGAGTGGTGTAATGACAATAATACAGACTCCCCATCATGCCAGGCTGCTTCTTTAAGTGGCACAGACTCATCTGGTCCCTGACAATGCCCCTGTTACACCTGTGATCCTTAGTGCACACACAGCACTTGTGCCACGACTATTCCCCACTGGAGCCAAAGAGCCCACTGGCAAACGGATGGAAAACACCAGGAGAACCGAGGTGAAAGACTGCGGGTAGGGAAATCACTCACACGCAATGCGCACAAAGGCCTTCTGGCTTTTGGTGGTGCCGGAAGAACTCCAGGCCACACACTGACACCAGTACTCTTCCAAGCCAAAGATCTTCTCCACCTGCTGCCTTGAGATATCTATCCGGACCTCCATGAGGGGCAGGCCTGCCAAAATACCAAGCAGCAAAGGAATTAGGAAGAAAATTGTAATGGGTTCAGGGGCTCCAAACAAGAGTTAGAGACACATCACAACTCTGCGGAAGTGCAATACATGTGCAGAAAACAAGAGAAGCTGCTAAATTTAACACATGCTGACACCCAACAGATTTCCTTATGTTACTCAGCTCAGCGTTTATGTCCCACCTAACTCCTTCTCCTTCTCCTTGATAGACTGTCCCAATGCTGTCCCTTTCAGCACTCACCAGTGCTCTTATCCTTGCTGCGCTGTATGATGTGGTCACCTTGGTGCACCCATTCACCATTGCATTTGAAGTAAATCTGGGTGGCAGGCAGGGCCTTGCACGTCAATGTCACGGGTTTGTTTTTGACAATATAAACATCCTCAGGTTCTAGCAGGAAGTGGGGGAGCAGGTCAGAGCCAGAGCCAGGCACAGGAATGGGCACCGTGGCACTTTGTTGAGCATCTGTGTTGGATGACAGAAACAAAATAATTAGAAACTGGTTTAGTAGCAATGACATTACAGCAGGTGCTGAAGAATCAGAGTTACATCCTGCACGGAAGGAGTTTGTGGTCTTTGTGGAATTCATTCAAAAGCACTGATGGGCTAGACCAGGGGTAGGCAACCTTGGCTCTTTTATGACTCGTGGACTTCAACTCCCAGAATTCCTGAGCCAGTCATGCTGGCTCAGGTATTTTGGGAGTTGAAGTCCATGAGTCATAATAGAGCCAAGGTTGCCTACCCCTGGGCTAGAATATTGCTTGGTATTCCTCAGTAGAGGACACTAGAGAAGGCTTTGAATACAAAAAAAGGGGATCAGACATAGAGCTCCGTATGTGCTATAGCATTGCATCATCCCTCTATGAAGGCAAAAAAAGGACAGGTATAGGGTGATGCTGATATTTAGTAGTGTGAGTTTCCAAAATTTATTTTAATACTTGAGTTTAGTTTGCAGAGTGCCCTTCTTCTACCAGACCCACCAGCATTGAAAATGAAAGCTCTGTGAAACAAGGTTTTCACCTTTTTCAATATCATCAAAATGACAGCAGCTCTTTAGTGATCTTTGATCAACTGCATGTTGAACTGCTCTGTAAGAAAAATAAAAGCCACTGCAGCAATCGCATGTACAGGCAGTCATCCCGTTGCTGCTAATACAGGTGATCACACTTTTAAAACAGCTTCCCCCTCCACCATATATGCATCCAACTCGAGACAGCAAGCCTCAGTAGAAAGACAGTATCATTTTTCATCACACAGTCAGCCAGATATTCAGAATGGGTTTGGCATTTTTGTCCACCTATTGTGGCCTTCCCAAGGATCTGGGATAGGCAGATGTTGATGTTTGATGATGTTACAGATACCTTATTCCTTTCATCACATATCAACGCTTCTCATTCACTGATATTTACAGTAATTCTTAATGGAAGAAGTAAAAAAAAAAAACCTAAATTCAAAAGAGGTACAAAGCATTTTGAGATACATTAACAAGGTAAACCATATATGATCACTGAACATTACCTGCTTATTATGCATACTAGAGATGGTGTCACAGCTATAATAATTTGTTTATATTTATGGTTCTATTTACTCTCTTGGCACAGAAATGATGGGATATGCTGTCTGTAGATTTCAGTGATTATAACTACTGATATGGATACTTGACAGCAATACTTTCCTAGCAGGAAAGATACTGATGGTATGCTGCTGGTTCAGTTCTGTAAAAATAGATTATGGATACAAGGCTTAGAACAGAAGGCTCCTGAATATGAGTCACCTTTTATCCATCCCATCTCATAGCTGCACTGATGTTCTTATGCGATTATTAGGATTTTCTTCATGGTGTCAATATTGTTGTGATGTATGTGGGGGGGGCGGATTCTGCCTTAGATTCAACTCTTTACTTGTAGAGAATTTAAAGTCCCCCCCCCCCGATAATAGGCTGAAACCAAGCCATAATGTCATTCACACCGATTTGGGCATGATGAGTTACAACCACTGCTCCGGTTATGAGATTCAGCCATCTCACTAAAGATGATCACATTCCTTCCAAATGATATATTTATTAGATAAAAATAGTTATGCTGATTTTGTACTTGCCATAGGCTTTTCTTGGTCTGGAATGCTGGAAACCTATCAAAATAAACTGCATTTTGTAGTCACTGCTGGGCTCTTCAAATCACACAAGAGTCGCTGTGAGTTGAGCAGCCTATAAATTTGATTTATAAAAACTACAAAAACTAATGCAAAATTTCTCGTGCACAGCTAATAAGCAAGTTCACTCAGTTTTGGTGGTTAATCTTCTTATCACTAATAGAGTTAGCTGCTATGATTCAGACTTGTTGATTGCCACTTAAAGTAAAATATTAATTTAGTTTATGTTCCTATATTTACTTAGTTTATTTACCAAAATTTATAGCCACTAATTCTTCCAATTCTACCTGGTTTACAGCACAGGAAATTAAACATCAGTAAAATAATAAAATCCATTCATATGTCCACTAATGAAAAGTACTAATAATTATAAACAAACCAAAATGAGTCTGAATGCTCTATAAAAGTGTTTTCATCATCTTCCAAACATCATCAAAGTAGGTAACCTCTAATCTTGGAGGGGTGGGGGCTGGGGGGAACTGTTCCAGAAACGGGGGACTATACTACAGAGTCAATCCCTGTGACCCAGCCTCCTACCCCTCTTCATTCCCATTCCTTTCAGGCTGAATTTGAACTTCCTCTTCCTACTGGATCAAGTCAGGAAGACCCGTGAAGAAGAAAGTCCACTCCGAAAGGCAAAAAGGGAAGGGTCTTCAAACTTGGCCCTTTTATGACTTGTGGACTTCAACTCTGGCTGAGGAATTCTGGGAGTTGAAGTCCACAAGTCATAAAAGGGCCAAGTTTGAAGACCCCTGCAAAAGGGCCATAGTGGGAAAGAGCATTATAAGTCAGCGGTTCTCAACCTATGGGTCACGACCCCATTTGGGGTCAATCGACCATTTCACGGGGGTCGCCAAGCAAGGCTGTCCGCCATTTTTTCCCCCTTTTCCGGCGGGTGCCTTACCTCCCTTGAGCTGGGCCAGCTGGTGGTCGGCCTGCTCCGTCTCTGCAGCTTGCCAGCTATGCCTCGGCCGGCGCAGGGGGTGGAACCACGCATGTGCGGCGCTCCCGGGCAGGGAAAGTCCTCGACTTACGACCGGTTGGGTAGTCCTCAACTTATGACTGGTTTAGTCCTCGACTTACGACTGGTTGGGGTCGCGGCATTAAAAAGGTTGAGAACCACTGTTGTAAGTAATCACTGACACCTTGAATTGGGTCCAGAAGCCTACCTTCAACCAGGGCAGATCTTGAAGAAGAGGATTTAGTTGTCTAAATAGGGTAATACAGTACAGATCAACAAACAAGCCCTGGCCATTTGAACAGCCCCGTATCAAGCAAATTGCAATAGTCATTTGTCTACCCAGTGAATTCTACTAGGAGCTACTGTTTAGTAGACATATGAGGTTAAACTATTAAATTCTTGGGTCACAGTTCTACATTTTCCTCCCCATGTTTCTGACATTCAGAATACTAATTAGGGAGCGAAACAAAACCACCAGTGGCTCTCCTTTCCCTGCAGCCCCAACCAGCAGGGCCAATAGTGAGGGAAGCCAGAAACTGTGGTTCAGTAATACTGGGAGGTTTGTAGTTCTATCCCGGGGGGCCTAGACTTGCAATGTTTCTCAACCTTGACAATTTTAAGGCATGTGGACTTCAACTCCCAGAATTCCACAGCCAGCATTGCTGGCTGTGGAATTCTGGGAGTTGAAGTCCACATGCCTTAAAATTGTCAAGGTTGAGAAACACTGCTAGAGAATATAATTTCAGATTTTTTTTTTAAAAAAAGTGCAGCATCTACTGACAATGTTTTTAGAGTCAACCCCTGAATTAATGAAAGCGCCAAAACGATAACCTGCCACTTATATTTCAAAACGGTGGCAGCAGCTAGCAGAGAAGAAAATGGATAACAATGACGCTATTCCAGAGATCCAATGTGTGTGATAAAACAGTCGTCTCCCTCTCTTCCTCCCTCCCCCTCCATCAATTACAACTGTGGCCCCATCCTTCAATTTAACCAGAGGTCCAAAATGTCGGGCTAAGTTAGTTTCCCCGGCTCTCGTTGCTGCCATCTCCTGGCCGTCCGGAATTTTACAGTCCACTCAATCCAGAGGGCGGTTTCTCGCCGCTCTTTCTCTTTCCCCGCTCCTTTAGCGGGGCGGTTACCTTTCGGCGCCCCCTTCTACCAGGCTTGCATGGCCCGGACCGGACCGGATGACAAGCGCCCCCGCCCGCCGCCGGGCCTCCGCTGGGGCTAATCCATCACAGCAGGAAATGCTGCACGGCGCGCGCCCAGTGAACCTGCGCCGATCCCTCATGTCTGCATTTAACTGCTAATGAAAAAGAAATGTAGTGTGACCAATAAGGGACATAGCTCACTTCTCCGGGGGGCCTCGTCTCGTCATGCCACGCTGCACTGATCCCGCTCGCTCCCTGCCCCCCCGCTTTCCCGCCTCCTGCTAGGCCCGGCGTCGTCTCTGCAGGTTTCCGCTGCAAGGCGGCATCTGGTGGGCTAAGCTCTGTCCCGTCCGGATTGCCTGGGACGGTGGGGGCGGTCCGAAGGCGAGAGAAAACACAACAACTCTTGGAAAAAAAAATCGCCGAAGACCCTCGGGAAGAGGTTGCTTCGACGCCTAGAGAAGGGGGGGGGATTGGATTTTGACGGCTAAAGCAAGGCGCAATCGCTACCCCTGCAGGGGGCCGAGTGCCAACGGCCCTGCGGCTTCTCGAGCCACAATAGCCGTTTCTCCTGTCAAAAGCCCGCAGCTGGTGCTTCTTGCCGACTTCAGCAGCGGTTGCTACGAGAGCTTCTATCTGCTTTATATTTAAATAACTACACCCACCCACCCCCCTTTGCCGGCATTGCTTCTCCCGTCCGCGGCAGTCGGAAAACTTGACCTAGCAGAGCGCGAGACTCCTGTGTCATCCAGTAAATGTAAATAAATAAATAAAACTTCTTCGGTGGTAATGATATACTGCTGTAGCATGGACGATGCAGTGCAAAACTGCACCAATACTTAAAAGGCCTCTCGGAAGCCCAGCCTTCCTTGCCTCTTGTTCCATCGCTCAAGAGTGAATCGGTTAACTTCTAGGTGGGGCTGTGGCTAATTCAGATTTTATTCCAGAATAAATTAAAGCAGAGCAATCAGAATTCTTTGTTCAGCTGCCTTTCAGAGAAGCCCAAAGTAGAGTTTTTTTGTTTTTTTTAAAAAAGAATAAATAATAAAAGCGATTCATACAACAATCAACAATAACACAATTTAGCAGCAAAGACAACAATTTAGAAATATTCAAAATGCAGCAATTAAAACATAATTTATTTTTAAAAGGCAGTCTTGTCCTGAAATTGCTTGGATGAACAAGCATGTCCTCAAAAC